AGCTTTAGCAAGCAGCTTTATGAAGAGTGGGTCGTATATTGTCTAATGGCGTGTATATATACATATACATAAACTTATACATGCACGTGTGTAAAAACAAGCCGAAGCATTAACTGAGCTAACAGCTTCAAAGTGCTTCAACTGTAAAAAAAAACTATACAATTTGGTATGAAATGATTGTTAGCAACATATTCTGTTCTTTATGCGCGCATAGACAAACATGCTGTCAGGAAACACAATCTAAAATGGTTCAATTAGGCGTATACTTAATATATTTAGTTGAGGCAAAGTATATTTGCATATACCTTTGCCCGGATGGTAAATCAAATATTTCTTTTAATTTTAAAATATTTTTAGCATATAAATTAATATTGAAATCACAATTGTTCATTTCAGAAACACTGTGATGTAAGCCCATGTTAATTTGGTAAGTTCAGCACAAATCATTAGTCGTGCGTCGCACGAGTCCAAAATAGTAGATCATTTTATAATCGAACCTTATTTACCTGAATTCTATGAAATTATAGATTTTTCAAAAACTTTAAAGCATAACCTTGAGCATAGCTCGGTTAAATGCAGTTCGATCTTGGCAATAGATGGCAATCGAATAATTTTGATTATTAAATAAACCAATTTTTTGCAATAATTGTTATGTGACCCCTTGATAAATTTTCGAAAAATTGTTCAAATTGTTCGTGCTATGCACGAGTCCAAAATGGAATGTCACTCGAAATTCGGACTGTACTTACCAGAGATATATATTCGGAATAGACTTTTGTCAAAATTGTTATCTGAACTTGAATTTCACTAAATTAACTTTTAAAGGCTGCTGCATTATTGCAAAAGTAAAGTTAAGATAAAAGAACAGTTGTCTTCTAGGATTTTTTTTTTGTTAATATTTTACACCTGAACAGGGCATCTCAAAGTCGAATACCCACACGCAATCCCAGTTGCCGCAAGCTATATGAATGTATTGTGAATTGAGCGCTCTCTTTAGACTGTTTGTAGAGGGCATTTGCTAGTCGAGTGCGCGTTCGGCTTGTTCTTCACTTGGAGCGTGTAAAATGGGCATGGGGTGTGATGGCTTTTTATACCCTGAACCCATCAAAAATGGGTATAAGGGTATATTGTATTTGTGCAAAATCCAAATATATGTAACAGGCAGAAGGAAGCATCTCCGACCCCATAAAGTATATATATTCTGTGTCTGGCTGTGGTATTTCGCATTGGATTGCCGTTGAGTTTGTCTGTGCAATTGTTGCGGGAATTCAATTTTTTCAAGTCAATAGATCAAAGACAGGAAATGGCTGGGCAATGTGGTTGGCAAACATTTGCATATACTCACCTTTTTTGCTGAAAGACTTACAGTAAAATAAGAACTCGAGAATGTTTTTTTTTTTTCGTGTAAGATTTCTTTGTTTTCTTTATTGAACATAATAATTTGTTGTTGTTGTTGGTTTTTAATGCTGGCTCACTTGCTTGTTAAATGTTTGTCTCTTGTCTTAAGTTTAAATTTAATTTATTTAGGTTTAATCGTTAAGGTTTTCTCATTTTCTTTTTATTTATGCAACTTTTTAAACTTTATTTCAATTGTTTTTTTTTTTTTTTTTTTTTTTTTTTTTTTTTTTTTGGGTTTTTATTGTTTTTATTTTAGAATTGTAGCGTATCCATATGCATAAATTTATTTTTATTTGTATATTGTTGATTTTTTGTTTATCAATTTGTTAGCTTTTGCAAAAAAATGTTAGCCATAATAATGAACATTATTCTGTAGCTGTATCTTTAGCTTCGAATATATATCTATATATATACGCACACATCTAGGTCTGTGCGTATACCTATGTATATATGTGAAATGTTTGGCTGTGTGTGTGTGTGTTCATATATTTTTCTTGCATTTTTTAGTTGCTAATTAACATTATTGACAAAATATATTTATATATATTTATTCAAGTACAATATTTATAATTTGAATTGAATTTTCAATTATTTTTCTTTTAGGCTTTACACAAACATTTTTCTTTTCTTTTCCTTGTCTGTGTGTGCTTGTGTGTGTTTGTGTGTGTGTAAATAGCTTTTTCAGCAGTCAAATAATTTCAATTTCCTTCATGTTGTGTGTGTGTGTGTGTCTGCGTTTAATTCAAATATTTAAATCAAATAATTTGCTCGTGCATGAATAAATGCTTAAATATAAATATTAAGTTGCAAATTTTAATATTAAATTTTAGTTTTGTATAAATTTAAAACTGTCAGCCATTTTCTATGTTTAATAAAAACATGTAAGATTATTATTATTTTATTTTCATTATTATTATCTTTTGTAATTTATTTTTTAATTTACTACGCTTTATGCTGTATGCCATGCCCTTTGTATTTGACTTTTATTTAATACTATAAAAATTGCATTAATTAAAAATTATTGTTTTTTGTATTATTATTATTATTTTTTTTGCTAAACTTTCTCATTTCTTTATATTTTTATATTTATGCCTTTGCTGCGCTGCTTTTCATTATTTTAAAAGCTAGTTTTTATCATATTACAAAAAAAAAAAAAACATTTATATATGCATATATTTTATTATATTATAATTAATTTTAGCTTTATCTAATTTAAATATTCATATTTGTTAGTTGATTTATTTATGTAAATTCTGCTTTGCTGTAGCTTTAATTATTTAATTTTGCGTCTTGCTTTTTCCTTTTTTTTTTGGCGGTTTAGTTAGTTTTTATTTTCTTTTAGGCTTCTCGTGTAATCAACATAGATATCGTTATGTTTAGATATATATTTTTTTGTTGCTCTTTGCTTTAAAATTAAGTACACACATACTTTTAAGCTAGTTCTCAATTTATGTACAACATTTAAATTACTAATAGTGTTTAATTTCTATTTTTTATTCCACATTGCATGCATTATTTAATTATGCTTTTTGCATGTGAACTCAAAGATATTATATTAAATAATTAATTAATTGCATTTGTATTTAATTAAGAGCATAGTTTTTCATTCATTTGCATGCATTGTGCGATCTCTTAAATTATGTACATAACTAATTGGGCGGAAAAACAAAGTGAAAAAAAAATGACACAAATTGCAACAATAAACACCAGCAACAACTTCAGTAATATTCATAGAAATTTCTGCCATATGCCTAATTAGCTGTAATTATGACCAAAAAATGTACAGCTAATTAACCAAGAATTTCACACACACCCACACACACATACACACACAAGCACACACTCAGGCGCAAACACACGTGAAAGAGAACGAATACAAATTGTTGCATAATTATATTTTAATTAAATTTTTAATTATCATAATTACGTTTTTTCCGTTTTTTTTTTTTTTGCAAGCATTTCGAGCTGCATTAAAGTTCAACTTTAAGTACATAAATTTTGGATGGATGCATTAGTCAGTTGATAAGTTACAAGAACCTAAGATTATCTCAAAAAAAAAACAAAAAAAAAAAAATCTGAAATTTTTAATATGTTACTTAATTCATTATTTTTTATGTTTTTCTCTACACAACACAGCAAACATCTAGTATTTTGGGGGCTTATCATTTGGTTAGCTTTGTCATAGGAAATTGAAATTTCTTGTTATTTTTTTCTGTTTTTTTTTTTTTTTTATAATTAACGCTTTGATTGCGGCCTTTTATAGCGTGCGGGGGTTGGCCTTTGATACAACCAAATGTTCAGTTAGCTGTCTACACAGAGCTCGTGTCTTCGTATTTTGCGGATTAGCCATATGTATATAGTATGCATGTCAATATGTAACTAGATATATGTACAAATCTAAACTGTTAAGTGCAAATGGCGACTTGGATGGAATTTTGGGGTAAACATTCTCATTATAGAAATCTTTGCATCACGAAATCAATCATAACAAGAATTAATAAGAAGAAAAAATAAATTGATATGCGCAGCCGTCGCAGCAGCAGCAGCCGGAAGTGGATACACGCAGTTAACCGTCATTTCGCAGTTGGCATTTCCGTTTCCCCTTCCAGCTGCGCTTCAGGCCGGTTGCGCTGTGTCTTACAGACAACCATAAGCATTTGATATACGTATATTATAAAAACTAATCAAGAACTATATGCTTTTACTTCAGTTTAATGTAAAGTGGACGTACGTGTTGTAAGGTTTTAAGGAAGGTTAAGGTTTCGATTTATTTTCGTTTTTTTTTTTAAGCTAACATAACTTATAGCCTGCTTTTCCACTCATTCGGACGCAATGAAAAGTGTTGCAAAACGGCAAAAATACAATAAATTTTGCCAAGGTTTTGATTGCGTTTTTTTTTTGTATTTTTTTTGTAATTGTGTGCTGTGCTACATTGCGTATGCGTGTTATTTATTATTTATATTTATAAAAACGATATCCTCTGCCATTTTGCTAAGTTGCATATTTAATATATATTATATGTTTTATCTGCTAAGTATTTATAAGTAGCTTTTAGCAGTGTTAATAAATTTTGAGTTATTTAGCTTGAGTTATTCCTCTTGAGTTTAGTTTTAGTTTCAACTAGCTTTGCATTTTATATTTTTATTAGGTTTTTATTAAAATATCGCGTGTTTAGCAAGTGCGATGATCGCGAATTCTTTAGCTTCGCATTTATTGCCTTGGCATTTATAATTAAACTCATTTTTCTGTCAATTATTTTGTTTATCTTTTTGTTTTTTTTTTTTTTGTGACTCTGTTACCGTGCCACTTGTGACGTCACAAGCTCAAGCATTTTTTTTTTTTTTTTGAAGCTTTGCATGTAAATATAAGTATTTAAAAAATTGGCTTCTCTCCTGTTGCACTTATCGTCTTTCGGCTCTCGCTTCTCTCTTTATCGGGTTCATAGATTTGGCCACTTGGTTTCGTTTCTTATTTTTATTTTTCTCATTTCTTTTCGTTTCGTTTCGTTTACCTTCGTTTCGTTTCATTTCAAGCGTTTTCTTTTTTTGTTATTTTTGCATTCTTTTTTTGTTAATACAATTTTTGAGAACTTTTTCTACGTTATATTATTAAAGTTTCTTTGTGTTCGTTTTTATTTTTTAATTTTAATTTTTTATATTTTCTTCAAGTTTTATTAACTGCTTATTGCGTTTTATAAACACAAACTCTTCTGTTTCTTGTCTGCACTTATTAAAACTACTCAACTTAAGCCGATTGCTGCTTGTTGTGTTCTTTCTTGTTTTCTATTTTCTGTTTTTCTTTTGTGTTTTTATGTAATATTTTTGCTTTTCTTGTCTCATTGCTGCAACTTACCGTACTACACGCTGTATAACTAGTAAAAAAATGTGTTTTGTTTTTCCGACTGGCTCACACCGAACATACTAGATAATATGCTATTTTAAGTAATACTAGACAAAAAAAAATTAGTTTTGTTTGCATACTAGCCTAGAATTGTAAATGTCTATCGATAATAAAAATGAAAAGTAGAAAGAAACAAATTAATATCCGCGCTCTCTTCAACGCTCTTAAGTACATCGTTGCGCTCTCTGCAGCTCTCATTTGAACTTGCCTGAACAACGCACGCGGCGCCCTCGCCATTTTGATTCAGCTGTCCGTGTGTTTGTGTATGGGGAACGTGGAATGTGTCAAATGTGGAACGCACTCGCTGCTTTAGTAGCGCTGTTGATACTCATGATGCCAGCGATTGAAATCAATGTGGAACACAATTATGGAACCAGTTGACAAGCCAGCGAGCAAATATCTGTGAAAGAGCAGAGCGAAAAAGAGCAGACAAAAGAGCAAGAGAAATAGAGAGAAAGAGACAGAACGGGGGAAAGAAACATTGGTTAGCAACGAGTAAGGAATAGAGGCGTATCTAAAATGAAATTAGAATATTCAATTCAAACTTACTTCTGATCGTGAGTGAGCGCCAGCGAGCGTATGCCCGCATTGCAGGCGGGGAAGGCATAGAGCGGTGCCAGATTGAAAGTGCGCCACACCTCGACAATTCCGCGATCGCCGGCGGTCATCAGATACTCGCCATCGCGCGAGAGCAGCATGCACTGCAACGAGTGAAAGAAAAAGACAGAGAGAGAGAGAACGAAAATGTAACAAGTGCCGAGTGTAACGAGTGGCAAGAGTCAAAAAGTGAGTGAATGCAATGCCTACCTGCAGATTGTCGTTGTGCGTTTCATGGCGCAGCTTCTTGCCATTGATGGTATATGCCGCGACATTGCCCTTGTCATAATTGATGACTATAAAGCCCTCGCGCGACATAGTTATCAGCTCCGGCGAGTGGAAATCAGCGGGCGGATCCAGCGAGCGCAGCAAATCGCCAAAAGTGGTGTGTATCAAAACGGGTCCATCTACACGGCGAGAAAAATAAAAGAAAAGAAACGAAAGGAAAAAGAGCAGAAGAGAGCGAAAGAGAGAGAGAGAGAGAGAGAGAGAGAGAGAGAGAGAGAGAGAGAGAGTGCGTGTGTTAGGTTAGAGTTGAGGCCGACAGCGAGCAAAACTTACTCGTTGAACCCGAAACAACAAGCCCCAGCTCAGCGCTGATCACCACCGAGGTGACTGCCTGCTCGTGGCCCGTGAGTGTGGCGCGTGGCGTGGGCACATCCCCTTCACCGACAATGCTCTGGGTACGGGCATTCCAATGCCAGAGCAGTACCGTACAATCCGCCGAACCGGATGCTATATAGCAGTCCGAGGTAATGTTGCACTCGCTGCGTGCCATGCAGGTGACGACGCCAAAGTGGCCGAAGACGATTTGCACGATTTTCGCTGAGCACAAAGAGAAGGGAAATTGGAAAAGGGTAGGGTCAAGGGCATTGGCATTGAGGCTAACGGACTAGCCGACTCACCTGTCTCTGTGGCGAACACACGAAAACTGTTATCCCAGAAGCCGCAGGCAATGAGAAAACGACTGTCGACAGTGGTCACAAAGCAATTGGATCGAATCTTAAGCATTTGGCTAAAGTTGTCGCCCAAATGACGACGGCTGACCGCGTTGCTGTTGTTATTGGTGCCATGCACAGCTGTTGGTATGGGTGTCATCAATCAGAGTCTAGACAGGCAGTCAATTCAAGTTACTTACCCAAGACTGGATCAATTGTCAGCGGCTGATTGGAGCCTGGCGATTGCGGCGACTCAGCATAGCTGGGACTCTGGACGGATGCGGTGTAATTGCAGTTCCAGCGATTCACCGCAAACTGATGACCAGCGGTCACGGTGACCACAGAGGGTAGCGATAGCTGAGGATAGGTATTCGCCGAGATGTGTATGATGGGCGAGTTCTGATAGAACTTGAGCATCTGGCACAGATCCTCGGGCATGGCACTGAACATCATGGGCGACAGATGCATGGCGGAGCTGCGTGGTGGATGCGGTTCCATTAGCAGCTGGCTGGGTGTTTGCCCAAAGTTGCGTATTTGATTCTCAACAGCTTCGCGCATCACCGGATCGAGCACGCCGTCCAGCTCGACGCTGCCTTCGTAGGTGAGATAGTAGAACACGTTGGTGGCCCGGATCGCTTCTGGTCCGCGCTGCTTGTAGCCGAATATCAGATCGATCCACTGGTGCAGCTGGCAGGAGACGAACTCCGATTCGAGGGCCATGCGATTAATGCGCACAAACTCCTCAGGGGTCTTGGCCCAAGGGGGCAGCTCAATGTCATCCACCAGGGCCCCGTCCTCGCGATGTCCCATCCTGTAGCCGGATGCATTATAGAACATCTCAGGCAGGAAATACCATTCCGGTATCAGTTCCTTCACATCGGACGTATCGCGCTGACAGTTCTTCCAGCTGAGCGATACGGAAGAGAACAGCCGATCGGGATAATCAAATTTACCGCCCTGCAGCGCCAGGAACATGGTCGTAAAGGGCTCCACGCGCACCAGCCAGGTAAGGGTGAATGCGGCCGTTGAGTAGTGGGTGCCATAGTGGAATGGGGGTATTGTATCGCTGTCCCAGCTCTCGTAGCGCTCCTCAAAGTAGGCACGACGCGAAGGATTCAGTGCGCCAATTGGCTTGGACAGATCCCGATAGTTGGAGGGCAGGCTGAGGTCCAGATCCTTTGAATCGTAATTGGTCAGCACCCAAGGGAAAATTGGATACTGGTTCAGATCGTTGTACGTGCGTCCGGCAATCGTATTGAGGAACATCAAGTACTCAAAATTGGAGATCTCGCGTCTCTGCCATTTCTGCGTCATGTTCGAGTTGCGCATCAGCTGGCGGGGTGACATCATGGAGGCGCGACGGGTCTGCGGAATGCCATACTTAATGCCAACGCCGACGCGTGGCAATGCCTTGATCACCTTCTTGACGGTGTGCTGATCGGGAAAGGCGAACAGAATCGAGGTGCGGCTGGCCAAAAAGATCTCCAAAGCCACGTTCTGCAGCAGATAGCGACGTGAGAAAATGGCGCGCACCTCCGAGAAGTACCATTTGCCATGCAGATGGTCGCAATACTTGAGTACCTCGGCATCGATCTTATGGAATTCCGGATGATCCTCATCCACCTCAAAGAACATTTCAGTGCTCGTGATGGAAACAGTGCCGGGCGCCACCAGGCCAGGCGCTATCAGACGCGCCTTGGTGCTGATATTCACCGGTCCTGTCAGATCCAGATCCAGTTCCCGATCCTCAATTAGCAGCTCCGCATCGTCCAACAGCTCGCTGTTGTGCTGCGACGATGGATGTGCGCGGGATACCGCAATTTGAGTGTGGAATTCGTCGCGTGTCTGCAAGATGGCATCCTCGGGTGCACCGTTCTCCAGCGCCGCCTTGAGCGTGGCCTGGGGATGGGAGGAGCCACGTGGATTCTGTACCATGCGCTTGCGACGCCTAGCATCATCCTCCCAAGCGTCCAGTTTCCAGTAGGTGCTCTTCGCCAGCGGGCCCACACTAGCCGTTATGGAACTCGTGATGGCGGCCATGCCGTTGGCATCGCCCCAGGCGCCATGGCGATTGCACATTATGTTGCGCACCTTCTCCAACAGCCGGCTGGCAATGACATTGTCCCGTCGGCGAGCGGCTGTGATCAGATGATCGCACATGCGCTCCTCCTCGCGCCGTTCGAGCAGCGTCTGGGCGCACTGCGACTCAAAGTCGGCATGCTTTAGTACATCGTCGGCCCGCATTCGATTGAGAATGAACTCCGCCTCGTTGGCCACGCGCACAATGTGATCCTTCATGGCATGGGAGAGCAGGCGGCCCTCGTTGATCAGCTCGATGAAGGCGAGACCGGCGTGCTTCTGCAAACTGTTCTGCCATTCCTGCGAGCAGAGCAGCATCACCAGCTCGACGACAGAGTGTGAGTTCTTGAACGTGGTCAAGCCCTTGCCCTCCATCAGCAGTTCCTGGCCGTGCGAGCCGACCAGCGTCTTGGAGAGGAACGGCGCAAAGTCAACCATTATCTCACGCAGCAGTGGACACACGGGACCCAGAGCTATTTCCAGCTTTTGCGTGAGACTCGCCTCGCGCGACGGCGTCGTCAACGGCAGCTGCGCCACCAGCGCCGGTGGCTTCATTGGCAGCTCATCGGGTCGCGTGCGCTGCTGCTGCGTGCTAACAACTGTGCCGGCATTGCCGGCGCCAGCAGCAACACCAGCTCCAGCACCAGTACCACCAACGCCATAGCCGTCCGGCACGCGCACCACCGATATTTCCGAGTCGGGCTTATCGCCACGCTCGCTGCCCACGGCCATGCCCACGCGCGAAATGCCCTGCTGTTGTTGCTGCTGCTGCTGCTGCTGCTGATGTTGCTGCTGTTGTTGCTGCTGATGTTGCTGATGCTGCTGCTCGTGCTTGGCGCTGTCGCTGGCATCAACGAGGCCCACGACAATGCCGCCACTGGCCGCAGCCTGGACGGCTGCGTCCTCATTCAAATTGACATCCGTCCAGCTCTCATCGTTAGAGTTGCTCGGCTTGTGATCATCGGCTAAAATATCGCTGGACGATTCGACTTCGGGCACCTCGTTTTCTGTCGAGTTCATGTTCAGGGACACCACATCCGAATCGACGCTCTAAATGGATCAAGTTTTAGATGGGAATAACACAACATATTAGTTCAAAATCAAAGGAGGTTTTGGTGTAAAAGCATTTTATGTGGGGATTCATCGATAGGTGTTGACAGTGCAATTGTTGTACATAACAAGTTGTGCTCAGTGGGGTGAAGGGCGTGAGAGAGGTGCTTTGGCATAGCGGGTGCTAAGACGACAAAAAGTGTTGCAGAACTATATCCTATCGATTTTTGATAGCTTTAGCAATCGATACACTATTGACACTAACAGCAAACGCACGATCGCTGGTTCGGAGAGCTCATAGTTCAGGAGTTCAGCGATTAACCTAAACATCGACTATTGAGTGGCGCCCCTCTTCTAAACGATATTGACATTATCATATTATCTTTCATGTCGCTAATCGCAGGCATCTCCCTACTTAAGCTTATCTATTGTCTCGATAGTAGCTGCCATCGAACTTATATATTGTATATAACTATTTTCTTGGGTGTGCCCTGGCATTGAATCACAGCGATAGTTGTGCGCAGCACTGTAACTTTGCAAAATATGCGCGCGTGTGCTTGTGTGTGTGTGCATGTGTGTGCGTGCGTGTGTGTGTGTTTTGGTATCATTTGCGCATTAATTATGCACACTGAACAATAAATCAAAATTCCTGAGCGCAATGCACAGCTCGTCCGCCGCTCAAATCCTGTTGACCAGCCACGTCCTCTCAACGTCCTTGTCAACACATGCATTTGTCAACGCCACGCACAAAATGTTATCAGCAGATCTATATGGAAAGCCCGACACCCCTTAACCAAACCCGCCGCTCCACTCCTTCTAAATGCCCCCCTCACTATGACCCCTTTGTGTATTTGGGGCTGTGATTTGCATAAAAGGCAAGCCACAAGCCCAAACACCCAACCCCCATCCCCCGATTGGCCAACACTTAACAAATTTTGCTATTACGTAATTCAGCTCATCCGATAGGCATTAGGTAAACTGGACATAACGGACAGACGGCTTGTGTCGAGCGTATCAGTTATGGGTGGACACAAGGGCGGAGGAGGGGGTTCGAACGGATGGTCATATGACAGAATTTTGTTAAAACGTTTGACAAATGTCAACTGTCAAATACAAATACAGCAAAACGGCACAAGTGGGTGTTGGCAGAGCTGCGTATGTGTGTGTGTATGTGTGAGTGTGTGTGAGGGTGGGTATGGCAGCTGTTGCGCCTACGCAATATGCTGCATATCCTGCGTATCCTTTTGCAGCAACTGAAATCAATCGTCTCTTGTTAGGCGCGGCTGGAAACTCGAATAACACTTGCGGGTTACGTTGAATACACACACACACACACATGCACAACCACACACACGATGAGAAGAACGTGGTTAGGGAGGCGTGGCGGGGGATTTGCTGTATTAATAATGCAAGCAGTTCATTAAGAGCCCAAAACCGGAAGACGGCACGTCGTGAGCGCCACAAAATAAGAGCTACTCTGTGCGTGAGTGTGTGTGTGTGTGTCTGTGTGTGTAAGTATGTGCGCTTGGGCATTGTTATTCTAGTTTGTAACACTAATTGCAAAACATATACATAGATATAAAATATACATAAATCACAAGACACATACACAAACAAATCCAAGAGACACACAACAAATCACGTGGTGCACGCAGCCAAATCAAACTTGTGTGTGATCGTGTGTGTATGTGAATGAGTGTGTGTGTGTGTGAGTATATGCGCGGATTGGCGCACAGATTGCCTAATGAATTATTGATTTCATTTAATTGCAATTTAATTTGTATTCTCCTTTGAAACAAACAAAAAAAAACAGGAAATCACAAAATAAATAAAAATATCAAACTGCAGCTGCCCGACTTGTAGATACCCTGCAATTATGATTCCAATAAAACAAGGCGAAGGGGTTGGCAAGAGAGTAAATTTGGGTTGGGTATGCTGATCAGCTTTAATCTATTATATAATATAGAATACCACATGGGAATACCCAGCCAAGAGAACTCAAGAGGATGCTAATCTCTATACAAAAACAAGTAAGAGGCTCTAGTCGAGAGCTCCCGACTAGGGGATACCCTGAACCCTCTTCTTCCAACATCAAATGCATATATATATTATATTTTAGAAGCTATACGTCAAGTTTGGTGACTCTAGCTCTTAGTATTTACCAAAATTGTCCAAAAAACATGATATCGATATAGATTTTTATCGATTGCTTGGAAAGGGAGAAAGTTATCGATTATCGGAAGCAAACTCGATCTACGCAGGCACTAGGAGCATCTACATCTAAAAGTCTCTAGCTCTTATAGGTTCTGAGATCCTTGCGTTCATGCATACGGACGGACGGACGGACGGACAGACAGACGGACATGGCTAGATCGACTCGGCTATTGATGCTGATCAAGAATATATATACTTTATGGGGTCGGAGAATCTTCATTCCTTTTGCCTGTTACATACATTTGGTTTTTGCACAAATACAATATACCATCATACCCATTTTTGATGGGTTCAGAGTATAATCATCGAAAAAGTTTCGATTTTCGCACCGACCTCGATTTTGAAAAAAAACGTGATGATTTGGAAGGTCCGCGCGGAGTAATGTCGTTTTGGAACGTCATATCTCCTCGCGGAGCTATTACCCGAGAGCTATTATCCGGGGTAGGTTCGAATATTAAAACTTTTTTGAATATTTCTTTGAAAATCTCGGGTAAATATAATCTGATTTTAAAATATTATACCTTTTTGAATTCGTGCGGATCCCTACTACCATGTAGCATTCAAAGAAATTATAAATTGATCGGTTGAACCTTTTTTTTGATTTTTTTAGACTATCTCGGCCGAGTAATCTCAGAGTCGAAGCATTCGCCAACCCATACAAGAGACCTCGCTGAGAGGTGTGTAGTCAGAAGGCTCAAGAAAAGATCCTTTAGAGACCTCCTCCAACTACGACACAGGAGCAGCCCCAGAGCCCACCGACAACCAGGATTGGCGAGATACCACATAAGTTAACGGCTTTGTAATAAAAATGTACGATATTTTTTGATTCAATACAATAAACATATATAAGTTAAAAAAAACAAACTTTTTTGACGATTTTTTTTTTTAACTCTCGGGTAAATATATCCTGTTTTTGAAATGTAATACCTTTTTGAATTCGTACGAATCCCTAGAATCATACGGCATTCAAACAAATTAAAAATTGATGGGTTGAAATGAGTTGTTGACCAAAAAACGTTTCGTTTGTAAAATCAACCTTTTTTGATAATTTTTTTAGACTATCTCGGCCAAATAATCTCGGATTTTGGAATTATATACTATTTTTGACTCGTAAGGATCAGGACTATCGATTGGCATCAGAAAAATAAAAATCTATATTTTGACCCAAATCGACCAAAAAGCAAGGGGTTACATCACGTTTTTTTCCAAAATCGTGGTAGGTTCGAATATCTCAACTTGTTTGACGATTTTTTTGAAAATCTCGGGTAAATATAATCTCATTTTAAAATGTCCACTGGATTTATTCAAGCCATATAAATAGGTAGCTTTATTTAAATCAATATACTTACTTTGTAAGTATATTGATATTAAACAAGTAAGAGGTTCCAGTCGGGAGCTCCCTTCTCTTCTTCTAACATGAAAAGCATATATATATTCTATTTTAGAAGCTATATGTCAAGTTTGGTTATTATTTACCAAAATTGCCTAAAAAACAGGATAACGATATCGATTTTTATCGATTGCTTGGAAACGGAGTTAGTTATCGATTATTGGACAAACTCGATCTGCGCGGGAACTAGGAGCACCTACATCTAAAATTTCAAGTCTCAAGTCTCTGTCGGACAGACAGACGGACATGGCTAGATCGACTCGGCTATTGATGCTGATCAAGAATATATATACTTTATGGGTTCGGATATGATACATACTTCTGCCTGTTACATACATTTGGATTTTGCACAAATACAATATACCCTTATACCCATTTTTAATGGGTGCGGGGTATAAAAATACAATCTATCAAGGACTGTGAGATAAAAGCAACATATACTGAAATATCCTAGAGATTACTAAAATTTCGTAAGTTTTGACTAAAATCATTCAAAAATAGGGACATCATATGTCTTAATTCATTCCAAAAATATAAGAAATCAAGGATGAATAGAAATTTCTTGAGGTTTGATTTAGCAGAGTTAGTTAAGTTCATTCCAAAAATGGGATATATGAGAGAGGGAGAGGGAAAGAGCTTAAAGTGTAGAAATATTATTAATATATTTGTTGCATTCTAACAGCATTATCTAATTAAATGGATCGGCCATGGGCATCGTATTGAGCTGTAGATATGAAAATATTTCACACTTATTTATAAGTTTAGCAAATGCTTTCAAATCCTGACTTTATGATGATTTTCAAAAGATTACTCGAACATATTGTCAAATTCCGAACTAGTTTAATATGCAAAAAAGTTTCTAGTTCGATAAATATGTGGAGTATTTACTTGAACCGAAAGGATAAGCTGCGAACTTCTCTCTGCTAGCAGTTGAGGCTAGGCCATTCACAGGACTTTTCTGCTAAAAAAATGGAAATTGTGAATGCACCAAATGCAGACTAAAAGCGTGTCTAAAGAATCCTAATTAAAACGCTTAATGTCAGCGCAATAATATCATATTCCAGCGAAATGTCATTAGCTCTGTGAACTCGAATTGGACGGGGTTTAATGTATTGTGACAAGAGGTCTGAGGCTGAGTTCGGTTTGCAGTTCAGCGAGGAGGAAAAGTGCCTAGTGTCGTTTCATGTCCGGGACAAGGATTACCTGTGAGCTCAACTGTAAAACGGTTAGATACGTTGCATTCGATTTAATACCTGAGGGCGCACAATTCTGTGTAAATGTCGCATTGTGTTGGTTAATTGATTGCATGATTTACTGATACATTGCGCCATTGATGCAATATTGATGCTCAGCTCAGTTGGACATTTGCAATTATGCAACGTCACATTTGTGCGGCCACAAAAGCAAAGAAATTAAATTACAAATTGACAAACAAACCGAACTATCTAAATACAACAGAGAAACACAAGAGAGACAGGCCAAGAGGGAGATGGAGAGGGAGAGGTAGGGAGCGAAAGAGAAGTAAATGAAAATCTGATAGACGCAAAAACGAAATGAAAAATTAAATGAAAAATTCTGAAAAACACGTTTCATCCCAACGAAATGCACAAACACGACAACTGTTTACGAATGCAAACAAAATAAATGATTTCAGATGATTTGTGCTTGCTTCGACTGTGGGCTATGGGCTGTGGGCGTGGTCGATGCACTAATTAACACACAGGATATGTCAATAAAGGTTATGCATTTTAAAATTTCATAAAATATTTCATTTATAATATCCTTGCAGAGATGCTGTTGGGTAATCAAATAAATACATGAATTTAAGTGAGGTTTAAATTCATGTTTAATTCTATTCAACATTTACTTTAATATCATACGGTATTTATATGTTTATGTTTATTCAATTTCCGATGAAATCGTTTTCTTTTTATATATTTGTATTTATTAAATTTCTGATGAAACCCTTGAAACGCTTCACACTTCGCGCTTCTCCATGACTTTAAATGCTTTCGGGCTTTGCCTTAATAAACATCTCGCTCAGCTTTAAGCTTCTCACTTTATTAAGGCTTTAAGGGCTAGCTGATTCGGTTGTTACTTATTGCTTTGCTTCTCGGTTTGCCAGCATGTGATTCTTGCTTCACTTTCTTTCCTGTCCTCCTATTGTTTTGCTTATCGAATAACAGCAACCATCCCTCAAACACTATTCGAACTAACTTACGTCTAAAGCACTATGCTTCTTGCTTTAGTCTAGTTCTGCATGTTCTCGACTTAATGAGCCTTCGTGTAAGCTGAAATTATTGATACTTCTTCTGCTTGGTTATCTGTGGTTAGCTGGAATATTTTATGCATTTCTCGTTATGCTTCTCCCGTTAGTCCTCACTCAGCTTCTCTCTACTTTCAATAGGATTACATGGGATTGAAATCGGAGTATGATCTCAATAATCTATATATTACTTAGTTACCTAGTTTTCTGCAAGGGTATCCAAAATTCGGCATGCCGAAAATAGAGTTTATTAACGGGTATTAACGGGTACAAGTATGAGTATTGGGTGCATAAGAAACTAACTTCGTAATTGAGATGGTATTTTTTTTTATTTTGTAGTATTTTTTTTTGTGTTGTGATTGACAAACGTTGTGGTTGTTGTTGCTGTACGTGTGTGTGTGTGTGTGAGTGTGTGGGTGAAATTGCTTTAAAGTTGTTGTTGTCAAATTATTGCAAATTATTATTGCAGTATTTTGCATTTTTGGTATTTGTTTTTTGTTGTTACCTTTGGTAATTTTTTTGGGACCATTGGCTTGGGTGGTGACAATGGTTGTTGTTGAATTTTGATTGTATCTTTAGTTGTTGTTCTTGTAGCTGTTGTTGTTGCGGTAGTTGTTGTTGTTGTTGTTGTTATTGTTGCGGTTGTTGTCTTAGTGTTGTTGTTATTGTTGTTGTTAATATTAGCCTGTGACAGTTTGTTTTGATTGAGTTGCTTCGTTTTAGTGTTTGATTTAAATAACATGCTTCATTGTTGTTGCTCTGCTTGTTCATGTTGTTTTATTTTAATATATATAAATTAAGCTAACCTACGCACATACACATACGCTTTCGCACACATACACCAACATACACACGCAGATACTCGCCTTCTTAGTTAAATGTTAATGCAAGTTTCTACTTATTTGTAGTTTAGAGAAGTGAGGGAAGTTTCATTCATCTAAAGTGACATTCAAACTGTCATGCAAAGTGTTTAAAAACTGAACTCAAGAAGTGCTTCCCACTAGAAACTTTAACCTGGGAGAGAGAGTTTGCCAAGCAAACCTCGCAGCTCCCCGAACCCAGCCCTCACTCATACTACTTAGTAGTATTAAACTTGTTTTTCAGTTACTTGAGTTTTACTTCAAACGCACGCACACAGACAAACACTCACACTCCCACCACACACACACACACACACACAAGCATAGACCCACACACCCAACTAACGCGTCTTGAATGGTACTCACCTTTATGGATGGCGGTCCACTGGAGTGGGAATCATTATCCGCCAGCACCGAGGGATTGTTCTCATCAACGACGATAATCTCGTAATCGCTATCCTGAATCTGACGGCCTCCTGCACAAGAGAAGAGAGCACAATAAATCAGAGATAATAAACAGATAAATATTATAAAATCTAGATAAATATGAAAGCTTTTAATTAAGCACAAATTAATACGATATTGGAGTGTATTTAATAAGCACTACAGCTGCGCCAAGGTAAATCATTTGAGCACAACTGCAGAAGCTGACGAGAAACACACAAAAATAATATATACACACACACATATATATTTATATATGAATATATATGTATATATACAAATATGTGTATAACTGTTGAATAAGTTATATATAAGTATGTAATCTGGAAAATAGGTATTCGTAGTCGCTAAGCTGTGTGCACACATTTAAAGTATCAAACGAAAAACTCAAACTCAGCGCAAGGCATTCACAACACACACAACACACACACGCACGTACATACATACACACTCAAGAGTCTTGGAGCTAGAGAAATATCGAAATGCCAGGCAAAAGCGAGTTATTTCTGCAAGTATTTTAAGCTATGCGTAAATTCTTGTTCGAGCTTACAATCAACTTCAGGCCCAGTTCATTTCAATTATGATAGGTTTCCAGGCAATCCTGTTAGAGAGTTTTTAAATTACATGATTACAATGATGCGATATTATATATATCTCATACAGCATTTTCTTAAGTTGCTTTCCTTTTGCCAATATGATTTCTTATTAGCCTTTACTGTCCATGCAGCTCTATGTTTACTCTCGGCACGTAATCTTCTTGTCCTCAATCGATTTGAGTTATTTGAAAAGCAGTTGAGTTTCCATTGAATGAGCCCGAAGGTAGTGCCCGACTAGTACATGCCCTGAACTTAACGTCAAGTTGAAGTTAATGCCAGCTTTATGCAGCGACTGCCCCATATGATTCTTTCAGTATGCGTTCTTATTTAACTTGGGTATTTACAGTCCGATATGCATGAAATTTTCAGGGCGTAAAATAAGCATACAAAAGTGCGTGCATGCAAAAGCCCAAGTATATTTAGGAAACGAATATCTTTTCTATACTCGATTGCCAAGATGTCAAAAATAATATTTAGCTGTCATAATTTTCGAGTTATGCTTACGAAAACCATGCCTTAAATTCGGTATTTTTCAATAAAGTCTCTAGCTGATCTAGATTTCGAGTTCGTAAGCAAACACAAAAGCAATACACCCTTTTCAAGCATTACCAATGCGTATACAAATGCATTCAACATCTGGCAACGCCTTATTTGATACGTAGGCAGTGCTGCCGGATTTACTAACAAGTAGTCGCTATCAAATATTCAGACAAGTTTTCAAAGTGAAATAACGAAAGCTACTTTGACAACATGTCCAAGTGGCTGCTACCTTTGACATAAGCTTGTTATTTCCTTTTTTTCTGCTTTGTTCATTTGGCTTAAAGAAACAGAGTGAATGGTATACATTTGAAGAACATATCGAAACCGGTGATTAGCTTTGACAGGCACATAAGAGGCAGGTCTTTGGAAATTGAATTCTGTTGCAGACAACAAAACAAATATGACTTAGCTTATGTAAGTTGCCTGTCAGCTTGCATTTAACTATTAGATAAATGAAAGTTCGTCTGCAGCCGTTGGGTAAGTCTCTTGATTGGACAACTTAATTTTAGACCATTTTAATGGACTGGCAAAAACTTTTGATTTGAGCTAATAGAACTTCAAATATGTTGAAAGCTTGTCGCCAACAAAAATATTCCACGAGGCAGCTGTTTGGCTGGCTGAAAAGGAGCCAGTTGTTTGACAGTTTTGAGGTGTGAAAATTGTTTGACTTTTTCATTAATTAGTCAAATGGCTTTAACTACATGTAGCTGATGTTGAAAAGCTCAAATTTGCATAACTAAGCACATGCACACACATTACAAGGACACAAACTTGCAGTCAGCTGACCAAACAAGAGTGAAATAGCAATAGATGGAGGCCAGAGTGAGAGTCAGTGCATAGCTCCATAGTTTGCAACAGCTTTCAGCAGCATTTGGTTTTGTAATTTTTTTATTTTTTTTTTATTATATTCTTTTTGGCATCTAAAGTGCTGGCAACTAATCTCTAGCTGAATGTGTACGTTTCTCTCCCGCCTGCCTGCTCTTTCTCTACCTCGTTCTCTCTTTTATTCTCTATCCGCTGCAGCTGTTATGACTGTGCATTTGAATTTCTAATTTTCATTGCTGCCACGCCCGTTCAACCCATTGTTCGCTAGTAATTTTGTAATTTGTAAAGTTTTATGGCTGCTAACGCTGGGGCTTAGGCCATTTGTTCGCCCAATTCAGTTTTGGAGCTATGCATCCCACGGATACATAATTAAAGATACAAAAGTATCTTAAAGTGCAGCAGGCGCGGGCGGTGCGCTTGTGCGTCCTCTTTTAGCCAACTCATTAGCCAATTGGCCGGCTATTGTGTGTGGCCTTTATTGTAACAGCGTGCTTTACAGTGTTGATTAACGTCTTAATTAAAATTTATGGCCTGCGCTGTTAAGTATGCTATGCTTTTTTTATTTTGTGTTGTGTGGCTTGTTTCGTGCTGCTGCTGCTTTTTTTGAGCTTAATTTGTAATAATTTCCCTGTGTGGCCGTTTTTCATGCACACACACACACACACACACACATATTATAGGGCGACAAATAGCAATAATGGGAGCAGAGGAGAGTGAGAGAGAGGGAAAGCCAGAGGTGTGTGCAGGCCGAAAATTACTTTTGTTTCAACATTGAAAGCGTGTTATCGGCTTTTACAGCTGTACCAACTGCTGCTTTCCCCCGCTCCAGTTCTCACCCCCCACCCACCCTCTCTGTTTATCTCTCACTCTCTCTCTCTCTCTCTCTCTCTCTCTCTCTCTCTTTCATTTAATTTATATTCGTGTTGTTTTTGCTGTTTTCCTGCGACTAATTTACATTTTTGTCGCTGCCATTAATACTGTTTTGTGTGTGTATGTGTGTGTGTGTGTGTGTGTGTCGAGGCAGCCATTTTTTTAATGCACGCGTATCGTTCTTTTTTTTTTAATGGCCTGTCTGCCAAATATTTTATGCAAGCCAAAGAATATAATAAATGTTGAATTTGCCTTTAATTCATTTTTATGGAATAGAAAATTAACGAACTAGATTTTACTTTTTTCCCCAGCTGGAATTTCTTTGCGTTTGACTGTATATATAAATATATAAATATATAAATATATAAATATATATATATATATCTATATATATATGTGTGTGTGTGTGTGCTTAGTAAATGAAGATAAATGAAGTGTGCTGACAGCACATGAAAATGACGAGTTAGAGCCGTCGGGCATGCGTCTGCCCCCAATCAGCTGCTGCCCCGCCCAGCTGTCGAAAATTGTACTGTCATTGTAGCTGCATTTGCGTGTGTGTGTGTGTATGTGTGTGTATGTGCTAACCATAGCTACAAAGATAGATTGCACTTTTTAAAAGCATAAATGGATTACATTGTGCCCCATGACCCGACCGAACAACACACACACAAAACTGGTGACACAAACACCCACACACACTCACACTCACACTTACACACACACACACACACACACACACACAAACGTTTGTTTGCATTCTGTTCTTTGTCGTTGTTAACTGTAAGCAAATTAGCAAACGTCGCTTTTCAAATCAAAATTTTAAATCGAATCGACATTTTTCGCAAAAATTGAAAAAAAAAAATGTTTCTGCGCCAACAACAAACAAAAAATAGCAGCTAATTAAATTTGGTATCAAATCATATAATTGACTTTTGGGACAATAATTGCATAACCGGCACAGTCAAACTAAAGCATTTTATATGTATGGAATAAATAAATATTTAAGTAAATGTGCATTGTGCAGCAAATTGTTAAACAATTTATGCAAAAAAAATAAAATAAATAGAACAAAAAATGTAATTGGAATTATTCCATAACCCAAATAATGCGCATTTAATGCCCCAGAGCTTTAGTTGAGCTATTCACATGACTACACTGTGCAACAAAATTCCATCTAAATTATGCATATTTGTGGGTTTTCAATATGAAAGGGGAAACTAGGATTTAGGCTTACTAAAGGTGACATTGCCTACTAATTATCTATGCTAAGGACTTACAAAATGTTGACAACGAGAATAATCAAATGGCGGAAATTGTGAATATTTACGGCATTGGCTTGATTATATTGGCTATGAATATTTATTTTGTTGCACATTGCTCTCTGATTTGCGCACAAAAAATGAACAATACAATTGGCATTGCTGTTGTGCAAAGATAATAGGATTGCTATCATTGAATGTTGCATAATTGAAGAATTGCATTGATTAAATAATTGATATCAATGCAATTTATGCCGAAAACTATTTCAAGCAGATTGCATTGTATAGATTTTTAATGTGCAATTCCAGTCATTAAAATGGAATTAAATTAGCACAAATCGACGGAGAATAAATGCAAATAAAAAACCTCCTACACACCTATAAAAAATATTAAAATGCAAAACACGCACAAACTATTATATCAACAAAAATTGAGGCTAATCCAAGAAAATGAAATACGAGACAAGAAATCAAACGAGTGGAAAAGTGCGTGTAAGAGACTCAATTTGCTATCAATAGTTTGCCCATTAATCTATATATATATATAAAACTGTTTGTCCTGACTGACTGACTGACTGACTGAAGGCTAATTCCACCCGAAAGTGTGGAAAAATAGCGAAAAACGTTTGTATGAAACTTTGTTGTTTGCCATCCGTTCGGCCTCAAACTCATTTTCAAAGATCTTTGTTCAAATTCATTTGAGGGGTGTTTAACACTTTTTGGAAAATCCATCCCTCCTTGGTATAAATGGGGGTCAAAGATTTGGTGTGTAACTTTTCGCGCTCAAATTCATTTTCAGGGATCTATATGAAAAATCATTTGAGACGTGTTTCCCATTTTTCGCAGAATCAAATCATACTCTATAAAAATTGCGATTCTAAGATTTTTTGGTGCAGCTTTAAGTTTTGTCCGATTTACCTCAAACTTATTGTCAAAGCTCCACATAAGAACTTAATGAATACGTGTTTTAGCAATTTGGGAAAACCCATCGCGAAAAACGTTTGTATGACATTTTGAAGCGTACCATCTGATCGTCCGTAAACTCTTTTTCAAAAGGCTTTGTTCAAATTCGTTTGAGGGGTGTTTCACACTTTTCGAAAAACCCTTCCCTTCTTGGTGGAAATGGTGCTCAATGATTTGGTGACTGACGCTTCGCCCCAATTTCCAAGGCTCTACACAAAACATCATTTTAGACGTGTAAAAATCTGAACTCCCCCGGTGGAAAGTGCATTTACAAATTTTTTTGGTAAATTTTAATTTGCATCAAACTTATTTTCAAAGCTCTACATAAAATGGCGGAAAACGTTAGTATGAAAGTTGTTTGTTTATCGTCCGATTAGTTTCAAAATTATTTTCACAGCTTTTTGAGAACATTGGTTTATGGTTTAAGGCATACGTGCCACGGGCAAGGCCGGGTTATACTTTCTAGTATATACATATGTTTGGGACCTATGTGTTTATTAACACACGTACACATACACACCTATGTATATATATACACATACACACACACACATACATAGGCGTATGACATCTGAAATGAAAATCACTCTTGCGCGTATTGTAGAGCAAGAGTTTAGAGTAAGGTGAAAACAACTAGATAGATAGAGAGAGAGGGAGCGAGATAGACAGAGAGTGAAAGAGAGAGAGAGAGAGAGAGAGAGCGAAAGAAAGGGAGAGTTGGCTAGGAGCTAAGCTAAACATAGAGGACAATAGATACACATTTATGGGCTATATAGCATAGTTAAATAGCAGCTACAGCTAAAGCTAGACATTGAGAGGCAAATGGAATGAAATGAGCGTAAAGCAATGCAACGCAACGAAATGAAACAATAAACGGGATAATAATATAAGAAATACGAAACGAAAATGGAATGAAACGCAAAGAAAACATAAAGGTAAAAAAACTGTGAGCAGCAACAACTACTTGATTGTGGTCTAAGAGAGAGAGAGATGTATAGAGTGAAATAGAGAGTAAGAGAGAGCAAAGATAGAGTTCAAGATTTTATAATAACTAAATATACAAGTATACACAGACAAATACGTATTGAGTGAGAGAAAGAGAGAGATAGATAGATTGGTAAATAGATAGTGTTAAATAGTTAGTTAGAGCGTGACATAAACTACACACTACAATACTCATAACGAGCGATACCTGTTCCAGAGCCAGATACGTTGGCGTTCCGTCCATTGTAGCGATAATTGTTATTGATGGCATTCGTTTTATATGCAGCGCCGCCATCGCTCAATCCCATGCCGCCCATGCCGCCTATGCCGCCCATGTTCATACCCATGCCCATGCCCATGTTCATGCCCATGCCCATGCCCATGCCCAGGCAGCCGCCGCCGGCGCCAGCGGCAGCAGCTGCAGCAGCAGCCGCAGCAGCAGCTGTTGCTGCACTTCCATTGCGCAAATTGCGCATGTTGTTGTTGCCGTTGCTATTGCTGTTGTTGTTGCTGTTGTTATTGTTGCTGTTACCGTTGTTGTTGCTGATGCTGTTGCTGTTGCCATTGCTGCTGCTGCTGTTGCTGCTGGCATGTCCATTAAGCACAGCTACAGGATGATGCTCTGCAGCGCCGATTCCATTCTGATGCTGCTCTCCATTCATTTGCAAGCCCCGCATATAGGCATGTGGATGCGTGTGATAACCACCGCCGGTTGTGCCATTCTCCACCTGACCAGCATAATGGTTGTGCTTGCCATTAAGCAGCTGTTGTTGCTGCTGCTGTTGTTGCTGCTGGTGGCCATTGATCAGCGCATAGTGCGGCTGGTGGGCATGAAAATGTTGCTGCTGCTGCTGCTGCTGTTGCTGTTGTTGCTTGTGCAGCTGCTGGCGATGCAGTGTTGCCGATGCGTTAACCTGTTGCTGGCTCTGCGAGGCCAGCGAGGACAGCGATGAGCTGGACGCCGGCTGTGATGTAGCTGTAGAGCTGGCCGACGAGCTCGTCGAGTGTGTGCCGCCCAGCGGAGGAAGTGGTGAAATGTTGCCCAGCTGTTGCTGCTGCTGCTGTGCAGCGGCATGTTGCTGCTGCTGCTGCTGCTGCTGCTGCTGATGTTGCTGCTGCTGCTGATGCTGTTGCTGCTGCTGATGTTGATAGTAGGCAGCAGCCATATGATGATGACTATGATTGTGTGGCTGATGTTGATAATAATGTTGCTGCTGCTGTTGTTGCTGCTGCTGCTGCTGTTGCTGCTGCTGTTGCTGTTGCATTGAGGCGGTGGCCACATGATTCTGATGTGACTCGGGCAGAAATTGTGGATAGACGTGATGCGACCATTGCGGGAACAAGGGACGTGCGCTGGCGGCTTCTAATGTTGTTGTCGTTTTTTATTATTATTGTTGGTATCCATTCGATTTGGTTGTCGGGTGGGCGTGGTTGGTATTTCATATTTACACACACACAGAGCAGAATGGGTTGCATTGGATTTTGATGGGAGCGTGGGGGTGTTTTTGCGAGCATTTTTCATTTTATACGTTTAATTTGGTATTAGTTACAAAGTATTTTATTTTTTGGTATTTTGTTGGTATATATTTTGGTATTTTTGGTAGTTTGTTTGTTTTTTTTTTTTATACAATAAATCCGAAAAAGCAGCGTGAAATGAAATCATTAGAAAAAGGAACGATGAAATAAAACACACAAAAACTGAATAGTATCTCCAACAATGGACTCGATGAGTGTTCTTAAAAGCTAATGATTAAGTGGTCCGTATTAACAGGGGTGGTTAAAAAGGGGGGTGGGGGGGGGGGGTCGCAGGGGTTAAATGATGGGTCAGGGCGGTGTAATTGGTGCAAAGTGCGCCTTTTGCTTTGATTAAGTAAGATACAGACACGCACACGCACACAACCACACTTGCACACACTTTGACACACACACACACACACACACACGTTGACTGCTTGCTTTGAGATCACACTAACATGTGGTGGTGGTGGTGGCGGCGGTGCTGGTGGTGCTGGTGGCGTTGGTGTTTGCCGTTGGGGGTGGTGCTGTTAATATTACTAGTGGTCAGTGGCAGTGAGTTTCTGCTACTATTAACATATGTAGGGACTCGCTTAACAGCTGTTAACGCGAAAGGAATGCAAATGCAAAACAAGCTGCAAAGTAAACTAATGTAGAAAAATAAAAAAGACGACATAATAAAATGGAACGCAGTATTGGAACATAAAGTATTCAAATTCATTTGAGAGAGTCGAAGATAGAAATATTTATATTTAGTTAGAGAGTGAAGAGAACCAATAAACGAACTGTGTAGCATTTGGTGCAGCGAACGTAAAGCGAAACGAAACAAAACGAAATGAAATAGAGACAAAGGCAAAGGCAAAGGCAAAGACAAAGACGAGCGACAGACGCAAATTAGCAAAGCAAATGAAACGCATGATAATTCCGAAACGATATGAAACTGAAAACTTAAAATAATCAATAATATCAAGTACCCGCCCGAGATTGTAAAACGTGGCAAATGCCGTTAGGTACGAGGAATTATCATATTGTTTATCGTCCTAGATCTAAAGCTCTTAACTGGTAACACTTACCGCTGCCCGCGCTGCGCTGCATCACTGGCGATTGACGCTGCAGTTGCGGCTCTGCGGGTGGTTCCAAAATGTCCCGATATTTGGACACCATCAGCACTGAAATAAAGTAAACGATGGCCAGCGATAGGAATTGCGCTTGTTTCGTTTCCTCCTGTGGAAGAAAAAGTGAACATAGAAAGAAATCGTGCATGAGAAAGAGAGTAATATGAATGGTACAAATGGGGTTGAAACAAATGGAAACGGAATCACTAGAAACAACGCAGTAGGGTGACTTCTAATGGAGCCATGCATAGTTGGGAAGTAAGAATAACTGCGAAAGGAACAACTGGAATTGAGACAATTGGCTATGGAACGAGTCAGAGTGATATAAAATGGGAAAACACAAGCTTGACATGAAACAACACGGAATGTAACAACTATAAATAAAAGAACTGGTAATGGTACGACTGGGAATGAGAAATAATTGGAAATGAGCTGTTCACTGGCTGCAAAGGAAGGTAGATAACTAAATGGAATAAAACAACATGGAGTGGAAAAAGTGGAAATGAAACGATCGGAGATAAAACAATGTGGTTAAGGCACTCACCACATCGCGATAGATGACGGCACGCAAACGATTAACGTCCATGTCCTGCAGCAGCTTCTCAGGATCCTTGACGGGCGATAATTGACCGGTGATTGACTCAACAATGTTCTGTAAGAGCGTGAAACAGTTTTGGAAAAGTGTTTAAGGTTGAGTAAAGTTTTTGTACCTTTGGCGAAGCCTGAGCGCCGCGTATGAGCGCCTGGAGATGTGCCGCGCCGGGCACATCCCGTGCCAAGGCGCCGACATTATAGCGCGTGCGCTCCTTGCACTCGAGGCAATTGCGCACGGCACAGGTGCAGACGAGACGGAGGCACTGGCGCAAGATGCCGCCACTGGACATGTTCTTCTCGGCCTCCAGTTCGCCAAAGTTCAGCGATGTGGCAAAGATGAGCACATCGGCCATATTGACGAGGCGCTGTAAAAAGGATACGGCCACCTCCAGTGGCATGCCCTGTGTGGGCTCCAGCACATCCAGCTCCGACTGAGAGAGAACACGCTCGTTAGCTAAAATATAGATCAGGTCACAACAGCCTGGGCAACTTACATTGGGAGACGTGGCGCTGGCGAGCAGCGGCAAGAGTCCGCCACAGGCAATGATCAGATTATCGGCCAGCTGGGATATAAGATGAACAGTGTTCACCACAAAGATGGCGTTCTCGCTGGAATTGACAAAGTCAAGGACACTCTTGGTGGAGTGGCTGCGCCACACCTGGATGTCCGTCTCCAGCGAGAAGAGCACATCGCTGAGCAGTCGCTGATGTATGTAGGACCACTTGAACTCCGGTATGCGGAACGGCGGACGTGTCGGTCCCGGACTGAACATGGGCCGTGTGGAGCCGGACTTGGAGCGTTGCTGCTTGCCCTCGGCACCAGCCGTTGCTCCCGCGCCCGCAACTGTGGAATGCACATTGTATGTGAGCCAAACGTATGCCTGAACCAAAAAGCGGCTCCTAAGTACTTACCATAATGATTGCCCTCCTGTTGTGTGCCGCCCTCTGCTATAGCAGCTGACGTTCCGGTCGCCGGCTGTGGCTGCTGTGCGGCATAGTCGTCGTCGTCGGCATCGATGTCCGCGTCTGGGCTGGTTGTCTCTTGTGCATCATCATCCACATCGGGCAGCTCGTCGAGACTCTTTAGAGCATCCGCCTCGTTCTTTGGCGTTGTCTGCGTGGTGGAGTCCACCTCGGTGGGCTTCATGCGCACCGTAACTGTTGCGTCCATGGACGTGGCTTGCGACTCCATGCGCGCCGGCTGCTCGTCGGGCGTGGGCGAGGTCTGTGTGGTCTGCTCGGCGGCCACAGCTTTCACGGTTTCGTCCACCAGAGTATCCAGTACGGCGTTCACAATGCCAGACACCTGTTCCTTGCTTGGCTCTGGCTCTGCTTGTTCCTCGGCCAGATCGAGTGCTGCTTCCACCATCTCGTGTACGATTTCCTCGGCGGCGGCGGCAACGCTCGCCTGCTCCTGGTCTGGCTGCGTCTCTGTCTCTGCGTCTGCCTCTGTCTCTGTCTCCGCAGCTGCCTGCTTTGTGGCTTCCTTTTGCACCTCGTTGTTGTTGGTTTCAGTTTCGATTTCAGTTGCGGTTTCGGTTTTGGTTGCGGTTTTGGCCTCGGCCTCGGCTGCATCGATTACTTTGTCGATGAGCTGCTCGACAATGTCACGCACCGCTGTGGCCACCACATCCTCTGTTGTCTCCTCCAGCTCGGGCTCTGTGCTCACGGGACTTGTGTTTGTTATAGACATCGTTAGCTCCTCGCTGCTCGCGTTGCTTGTGCTGAGCGTTGAGCTCAGCTCCTGGTCGCCACTGGCTGCTCCTGCTGCTGCCCCTGCTCCTGCTGCTGCTGGCTCCTGACTGCTGCTGTTGCTGCTGGCCTCCAGTTTCTCGTTGTTGTTCAGCTTGTTGGCCGCATCTTCAGTCTTTTGATTGGTTGCTGCTGTATTTGACTCCTGCTCCTGTTCCTGAACCAGCTCAGGCGCCTCTTTTTTCTCCTCCGCCATTATTGTTTCTGTTGTTGTTGTTGTCGTCGTTGTCGTAGTTGTTGGCTCCTCGCTGGCACTGCTGTGGATCTCGTTGGCATTCACCTCGGCTTCCAGCTGTTGCGTCTGCTCCTTATTCTGCTGTTCCGTTTCAGTGACATTGTTGTTATTGTTGTTATTGTGGTTGAGCAGATTCTTGCTGTTAAGCAGACTGACATTGTCCTGCGCAGGCGTCTTCTTCTCGCTCTTGAGCACGCCCTGCACCACCTCGTTGACAGCCAGCTCAATCTCCTCGTCCTTCAGCACCGAGGAGGACTCCTGCAGCACGTCATCGACGGTCAGCTTGCAGTCGTTCAACGCGGCTTCGGACACCTGCAGCACATGCGCCACATGCTGCTCCACATCGAGCGCATCCTTGGCCGTCGCCAGCTCCAGTTCCTCCAAGTCTTCGCCTATTTGGAGCGTCTCCTTGAGCGCCGCCTGGCCACCAGCTGTGACCTGCAGTTCCGCCTGCTCCGATTGCTTCGGTTGCTCCGGCTGCTCCGTCTGCTCCGCCGGACTGGGACTGAGGCTGCCATTGCAGGTGGGTGCCGGAGCGCTCTGCAGCGCCTCGTCCGTTTTAATTTGCTCGTTGTACACATCCGAAATGTTGGCAATCACCGACTTGTTATGTGGCTCCTCCTGCTGTTCTTGCTCCGCTTCGGTTGGCTCGCCATTGGCAGCACAGACGCAAGACTCGGTAGTAGATGCGGCCGCATCGCCGGTCAACTGCAGCTCCTGTGCATCGACATCGATGCTCTCCAACTCCAGTTCCTCTGCCTCCTCTTCCACGGGTGGCACATCCTCCAGCGAGGCTATGGACACGGCGCTCTTTATGTCCGGCAGCTGCTGCTGCTGCGGCTGCTGCGGCTGCTGTTGCTGCGCGCTGGCAATCGGACCGTTCTGCTGCTGCTGCAGCTCCTCCCTCTCCCAGCCGCTGATGGTGCTAATGGGGCGGGCCTGACGCAGGGCGGGATCGGTTATGTTATCGGTGCGCTGTCGCTCATAGTGCTCATACATTTGGGCGAACTGCAGCTTAAATTCCTCGTAGGAGACCTTCGAGTGGACAATGGCCAGGGTGTCCACCCAGACGCGCCAGCCGCCATACTCATGCTTGATGGCATGATGCAGCAGCATGCGGAACAGTGAATAGACCATATCGCTGATCTTCTGCTCCTCGGTGTTCTTTGGATGAATGTAGGCCATGGCAATGAGCCACTCCTGCCAAACGGACATCTGGAGGACGGTGCGACGATTCTCTCGATTGCTATTGCACAGCAGTGTCATGTCCTGAAGAAAGAGCTTCTTCACCTCGATCAACGACTCCGTTTGCTTTGACTGGCGTATTAGTGTGGCGACCACTTTTAGTATCACTGCGTCGCGATTGGGGTTTGGGGCAGGATTTCGGGATTTGGCGTTAGCTAAGTCTAGAGATAAATATAAAGGGGCCAGCGAATTACTTACTCGGATTCTCCAGACGGTAATGACTCTCCGGTTCCGGATGGCGTGTGTACAGTATCTGCTGTGAGATGTGCTCCGTCATAATCTCGTAGAGCACGTTGTATGTGGGCAGCGACAATGACTCTTCGTACAACAGCAGACGCTCCGCTAATAACGTGTACAAATTGTGCGGCGACATGACATCGTACTTACGCCTGCAGCGGTTGTCGGAGTTAGGGGAACAGTTGGAAAAAGAAAAAAAAAAGGTTAAGAGAAACCAGACACATGCAAAAATTTATGAGCATGTGCATTACACGGCAGTTTGTCAAATGGAGGGCGGACTAGGCCCATGCCTAACCGGGCTGAAATCCATTATTTAAGTCCCCCTCCGCCTTGCTCCCGTTAACCACAATTACTCGGCAGAGAGAAATGAAATCCAACCCATTATTTGTTGAACTTACTTGTGTGTGCTGCGCGAGAGGAAAAAGCCGAGCAGCTTGAGCGCCTGGAGGCGTATCAATTGACTTTCGGCCGCCAGTAGCTTGAAGATGCTGCGCACGCCGTGCTTCACATCGAAGGCAGGTACCATTGAGCTCGGGTGCTCCGACATCAGCGAGATGAGCATCTGCAGCACATCGTGCAGATTCTCGTCCTGTACAAATGATAAAAGGAGTTGCAAATAAATAACATTTAATTAGCAGCCACTGTGCGTTGCTAAGGGTTTCTCTCTATAATCTATAATCCTTTCACTTTCGGGATTTGTTAGACTTTAAAGCTGTGCTGGCTTCCGAAGTCCGAAGCCCTTCGCCAGAGCTACTCTTAATAATAGGGTGCAGGAAATAAGTCCCTTTTGTAAGCTGAGCTCTCAGTTGCATTGTTTACTGACTAAGCTTAAGAGCTGCCACGTTTACCACCTCCCATTTTTACACACTCACCTCATGCATGGTGGTCAGATAGTTGAGTATGCTTTGCAGTTCATCCTCCTTGACGCCATTGCCGATCATGATTAGCTGCTTGAGGAACAGCAGGATATAGGCACGTATGGCCAGAATATCCTTCTGAGCCGGTCGCGGACCATCTGGAACAATCGATTGGAACGCACCATCAACATCACATCCCCCAGCTGTCCAGTTGTAACAATGATACTTACCCAAACCCTTCGGTATGATGCCGCTCTTGGCGCGCGGATTGACGACCCAATAGTAGTACTTGAGGGTATGTACTGTCTGCAAGACGGTACTCACACGTCGGACATTGCTATAGATTTGTGTATCGCTGAGAAACTCGGTGGCCAGATAGGAATAGAGCCGTGCCTGGACATTGGCTGGCGTATAGATCCACAGGGCCGGATTGAAAAGCACGTGATCCAGCAGCTGCCACGTGAGAAACGAGAAACAGAACAACTGCGGGGAATTAGTCAAGTAACTTATGCTGTCCTCAGTTATCAGAGACTCAACGAAATTGCAAGGATTGAAGATGTTGTGTGTGTGTGTGTGAGAGAGTGTTTGATAGTCGGTTAGTTGAATGGTTAAATAGTTGGGTTAGTTTTAGAGAAAGAGAGAGAGAGAGACAGATAGATAGATAGAGTAGCGCAAGAACAAAAGACATTTTGTTGTTTTTGTTGTTTGTATACATACGTTTACATGAGTTTCATGTTGATTGTTGTTGTAGTCGATTGATTTGGATAGGGTTATTTATACATATATATGTATATATACATATATATATTTGGAGGATTGGTAGTAGTAGTAGTAGTAGGATTCGTTATATTGAACAACGGTAACACATGCAGCAAACAGCAATCAATTTATTTTTTATCAACGTTTGTCATAAAACATAAAACGAGAAATTAACAAACAAAGTAATCAACAGATTATTTTTTCTTTTTTTTTAAAGAGCATTCCAAAACGAGAGCTAGGCTAAGCTTAATTAATTCTGCTAATTACGCTAGAAATTATAATAAATGATCTTATGCATACATAACTTTAGTATTAATAAGATATTGTATACATATTAGACAGCAATAATTAAAATGCGATGACAAACATTCAAATATTTCTAGGAGTTAGACATAAAGTTTAGATTAAATAATTGGTCAATGTTTATTTGAGAACAAATTCAGAGCTTATACACATGTCTTAAACTTTAAACTGGAAGCTAGCTCCAAATCATGAGCAAAGCTGATTAGATGATAAACCCAGACTCTGGACAAGTTTCAGGCCCTCGAGCTGAGCTCCTGAGATCTTTACTCAAGCTCAGGAATAGGTCTTAACTAAGCTCTGACTACGTTTTACTTGGAAACCAGTAAAAGAGCTTAGCCCCAAGGACATAGAATAAACGCGAAACATGTTCAGAGGCCGATTTCGTAGTTAAAACAAAAGCTCTCACATAAGAAGCATATATTAAAGGTAAATCCATGTTAACAAACAGATACGAGAATAAGCCTAGATCCAGTTGCAGAAAAGATGCGGGTAAAGAGTTCGGTTAGACTTAAGACCGAAAATACGAACGAAACCCGGAACAGGATACGGAAACTTGCTTAAGCTCAGTTGATTTCTTGAACCAAAAGGATTAAGTTAAAACCCGAATGGACTAAGCTAAGCCTTTGTCAAACATAGCCTAGTCCCAGGCTATGACAAAAGCCCAGGGGTTCTCAGATCTTATGATATGCATAGAAAGAGGTTAAAAGAGGGAATAGGGACCCAAGACTATATACAAGCCTTAACCCTAGCCTAGGCTTTTCCAAATAGTTTCCAGAACAGCAGAGAATATCTTGGTATACTCATATTTTTATATATATATGTATGTATATATATATGTTCGTGCATACAGCCACTGGAGGCTTGGCAAATTGCAAGAAACCATATCTTACACAATTTTAAAGCAAGTCTGAATGCTTACAAAATATGTCGATAGCAATATATATCGGCGTATTTCAATAAGGGTGCCTGCAGCAGGCTGCGATTAGATTGCGCAAGAGCATCGCGCAGTCGATACCAGCCGACTGCAATGCTTTCGGCTAGTTGATCATGACGTGTTTCTTGTTAATCGCTTTAAAATTCGTATTCGTTACGATTGGAGTAAAATTTCATTTGCGGGCACTTTTTGCACAGTTATCTGTGCAATATTTGTGCACAAATTTTAATTGTTGAATTGTCAAAAAAAGGAAATATATATGTGCATATGTATATGCGGACGATATGTTCACACATGGCTTGGCGTATGCGGGTCACCACTTCAATTCAATCCGCACCCATCCAAATACTAGAGGGCAAACTTTTTGGCCTGGCTCTGCTTTTGCTATTGCTGCCGCTGCAGTTGCCATTGGTCGCAGTAAACATAACAATACAACATCCCGATGTGGCACTGGCAGTGCCACGCCCAGCTGCCCACGAAAGTTTCCCAATTAAAAACTGTGCACGAGTGTAAAATAATAAGGGAACATGGCAACGTCAACCGAAAACCGAAAACTGAAAACTGAATATCCCAAAACAACAACAGATTCAGAAATTCAGCAACACGAAAATAAATATTCTTAAAAAAATATATTTATATATGCGAAAAGTGGGCGCTGAAAATTACAAAAAAAAAAAAAAGTTTAGTTTCGCTTGGCAATTTATACACATTTTTTGCCTAGCCCTCTCGAGTGGGCAACGCGTTACACAAATGAGTTCAAGTTGGGTTAATGCATGCATTAAGGTGTGAAGTAGACCTCCAATTAAGCAAATTATTAAAATTCACAATGAAACAACTTCAGCTGGGAGCTGAGTGAAACGATGAACTTTGAAACGGAAGTTTGGGTATATGAGAGGAAGAACTTGAACAAAATTCGCATATAATATATTTCCACATATGAACGATTTTGTAGCTTAATAATTGAGAGGCTGCACCAAGGCTGTCCGACAGTAAATACAAAAATAGCTGAAACAATGTGGAATGGAACAGCATGTGAAAGACAACTGTACACTAAATATAGACAAATATACAAGTTAAGAGCTAGAAATACGATCTATTAAGAAATTAGGTTTAATAGACTAAGTATGAGTTTCTTAAGATAATGTGGAACAATGTGGAATGAAACAGAAAATGAATTAACTACACAAATGTGTACATGAATGAGCCGAGCGCATGAATATACAACAATGAAATGGAACAATCTGAATGAAACAGCATATATGAAGCAACTGAATACAAAATACAGCAGCATAAAATCATTTACTCTAAATTAATATTGTCTAATGAGCCAACTAACTGATGAACATTTGTACAATGGAAACAAATGAAACCGCACTTTTAAAGCAACTACATGAATTCAAATACACAAATGAATGAACATTTAACACCAATTATGCTTGATGGGCTAATGACAATAGATATACATGTACTATATACACATATCAATAAAGTGAAACAATTTGAAATGAGACAGTACATGAGGCAACTGTACTAGTTATTGAATACGGTAAACGGAACAAACACACACACTCATACACACATAGAAACGGAACGAAACGGAATTGAACGGAACGGAACGATAAGGAACGTTTATATAGACTGTACAATACGATAGTTGAGTAAAAGAAATTTTAGAATTGAGCTTCACCTGGTAGAACTGTTGTAGATATTTGATATTGGTATTAAGTTCAGTTGTTGTTGTTATTGTTGTTGTTGTTTTATGTGTTGATTGAATAGAAGCGTTTCAAGATGTAACAATTTTGATTGATTGAGAAGGCGCGTTAAAAGAATATGAAGCATAATTAAAATGGGCAAATAGTTCGATGAGGGAATGAGCGGGCGCGGTTGGTAAACATGAGTTGCGAGTCGCGAATTGTGTGTGGGATTGATTAAAAACAAAAACAAAAAACCACAGAACAGGGAGCATATAACAAATCAGATCAAGAGTGGGAAAGAAAGAGAGAAAGAGAGAGAGAGAGAGAGAGAGGGAGAAATAATGTGAGAGAGCAGACAAATTAGAAGAATTTAGTTTCAGTTGTAAATACATTTTTTTTAAAAGCACGTTCATTATTTGGTTCTTCATTAAAAGTTTTTTACGCTCTATAATTGACCGAATCAGCTGGGTATAACGTAAGCAATATAAATTTCGATTAATCTTGACTTGGATGGCAAATGGCAAGCGAAACTCATTTGGGTAAACAAGTGCAAAGCATCAACACAAACCAACTCAGTGCAAAAGCAGGGCAAATAATAAGAACAGGGTTTTCATTTGCTGGCCAATTAAAACTGGTAGCTCTTAAGCGTACAGTGCCACACAAAAAGCATGCAACAGTTAACAAGAAAAATTCAAAAAAAAAAAAAAAAAACAAACAAACACAAATACGCTTCGGTTAAGCCGAAGACAACAAAAACCCCCGAAGGAAATTATTTGTATTATAAAGTGGGACTGGGCAAAATATGTTGTCGGCATGAGTGTTACGCCTTTTTATACCCTGTACCCATTAAAAATGAGTAAAAAGGGTATTAATTAATTTTTATAACTACAAAAGCAAACGAGCTGCATTTTAAGTTGGTAGAAGAGGGTTCAGGGTATCCCTTGGCCGGGAACTCCCGACTAGAGCCTCTTGCTTGTTTTGAATAGGATTAGTAGACTACTTGTAGATATATGGCTAAAGTTTAAACTTGGCACCAAATCGCGTTAAAACAGAACCGCTCAGAACTTGGAATTTGAATTTCATTTTCATTGTAAGTCGAACCTTTAACCAAATAATCGAAATGCAACTCGGGCCGTGTCAAAAATGGAAACAAGAGAATTAGTGTCTGGGTTTTAAGCCAATCGCCTTGATAGTTTGCATATGTCTAGAGCCACTATATCATATAGTTGCCATAGGAACGATCGGTCGAATGATGGTTTCTTATATGGCAAAATATTCTGTTTTCTTCGATATTTTCATCAAGCTCAGCATTTACGAGCTTCACTATGCTCACATAAGTATCTGCAACACTGCAAGACAAATATCTACAAGGGTATTAAATCTTCGGCGTTAGGGTATTAAATATTTCGATTAATTCTTTTCGCATCTAGATTAAATCCCCGGTGCATGAACAACGAGCTATGCAAATAAAATGTTACACGGACTCAAGCGAAAGGGAACACATTCGAGTAGTTTTGAGGCTGTTGCCAGCGATTTTGCGGGTTTATCGTGTGTGTTAGGCAAATAAAGAAGAAAGCGTGAATAGAAAGGATAAAGAATAAACAAAGTTATTGTTTGGTATATAAGTAAGTAAATATATGCACACACATGCACATGTATGTGTCCACATAAAGTATATATCTAAGGATTAGTCTAGGATGTGGGAAGGCGGCTCTGGGCTTTAGAGAATTTAGCCAGCAAAGGAGTTACGGGTAACGAGTAACGGGTAACGGGTAACGAATAACGAGTAGCGAATACAAGAGCTTAATTCAAGAAAACTGTGTGTATTTGATTTGCTACGTCTTGTGTTTACTTTTTTGAAAGGATTACGCAGGCCCGTGCTCAACTGTGCGCCGTTCGGCAGGAGGACCAGGAGGACCAGAAGGAGCAGGAGTTGCAGGCGCCAACATCAACACCAAGAACACAAGAACAACACAAGGGCAAACACAGTGCGATAGGCAGACGAAATACATACAGAAACAGAGAAAAAAGAGAAAGAAAGAGAGAGAGGGAGTGAGTAGAGAAAAAGAGTGAGAGAGAGAGAGAGAGCAGATGAGTGGCGAGTGGGTTTCTCATATCATTTGAAATTTGTTTGTCAAGGTGTTAAGCATGCCACAAAAATGATGAAAAACGGCGAACGTGAAACGTGTGGATATACATTTATATTTCATTTTTTTTTAACTTTTTTTTAAATAGATTTTTGTGCCATGTTGACACAACGCGACGCATGGGCGTGTTCAGGTGGACGGCAGAAGTGAAACAATTTAAATAAACTGCAAAATTTGAAGGTTGGCTTTGCTTGGAAAACGGAACATTTTCTTTAATAGTTGTGGGTCTGATCAGAACTGAAAGTAATAGAAATGATAAAAAGAAAACTCACGTCGCGGGCGGCATTTGTCATGCATTCGTTTGGCTTGCGGGGATGTAAATTGCGATGCGAACTTAGATCGAACTTAGGAACAGACATATACAATAATATATTTATATATAAATAGTAACTAAACATAGGCAATATACGTATATCATAGAGGGGCATATTACTAGTAATACTTGTAATTATAATTTTGAAGCATGCTTGCCAAGACACTGCGCCTCTCGAAATGTCAGTCGCATGCTATCGATAAATCGTTTCGGGGCTTATCCATGTTAAAGCGCGAGTTTCGGTTTCTTAACATTAACATTAACATTAACATAGAGCGGAGCAAATATTAGATCTAGTTGTTATGCTTTGTACAGATGCTCGAATTGGTTTTGGGCCTTGCGCCCACTCACCTGCTTCAGCAGCAAGTCGCTGTTGGCCGACAGGCAGGTGACCAGATATTTGGTCAAATTGAGAAACGAGCCGAGCACCTCCAAAGTCAGATGCTCGCGCGACGAACGCTGCAGCATGAAGGATATCACCAGGAAGCCGCGATTCTGTATCATGTGCTGTTGCACTGTCTGCGATGTCTCCACCAGTTCGCAAATGAAGCCCAACAGCTTCGAGCTGTAAATGCACAAGCAACGGATGAGAATGGAACAGAAATTAATGAAGAATAACAATTATAATTGCATGTAAAAAATAAATGGAAATGGAACACATGCCGAAATTGAACTTAAACGCTTGTATGCAATATGGAATTCCAACACAAAGGAGAATATTGCAAATAGGAACATAATGAAACAAGAATGGAATGCAGGTAAAAGCGACGAGTGATTTGTGAACCACTTACCAGAGCGTCGGATCGCGCTTGATATCGCTGATGCCTTCGTGCGCCATGTCCAGCTGGGAGAAGAGCGGAAACAGCACCTGAATGCCGCCGATCGAATTGAGTGTGCAGTGTATGGAATGCGTGACCACAGCCTTGACATCCTGTGAAAGTGATCCAAAATAATATATAGTTATTAATAAATCATCCTTTAAGCCTTAGGCTATGCTCCGTTTCTGTATGATTAAGCTGAATGGAAATCGAATATAAAATATCTCCTTCATAATGCTGCCAACGTGACTAAAATTTAAAGTGTTGTCTAACGCTTAAAGTTTCTTTTTGAATGGGCAACTGCCTTAGATTATCTACAGAAAATAGTTTAGTTTTGTAGGCCTAGAGGCACTTCCCTCAACGATGGCTTGAACAAAGATTGGTTTGTCTATTGATTAACCATTTCTCAAATGTCAATTTACCTAAAGTTCGGGGCATAAATTTGTGTTTCCCTCAATATTTATCGATTAAATTGGTTTTTCTTTTACACATCGCATGACTTGGGCACCACTCTGTGTGTGTCCTTTGAGTGTTTTGTTGCTCGCTTGTTGTTTCTGTGCCTCTGTAGGCATGTCCTGGGCTCATTTCGCACACATTTTCGGCGCGCCGTTGTTGTTGTGGTGCTCTTTTATGATTTGTGTTGTTTGCACAAGAAATTACTACAAAATTTATTGAATAATTTTGTTGCCAGCTACAAAGCATGGCGGACAACTGGTGGTGGCTGGCCAGAAGGCGGGCAGGCAACTGTTAAGCATGATAAGACTGCGGAACGGAATGGAATGGAACAGTCGAGCCAGCAGCAGAAGGAGGCGACCAAAGATTGTACCTAATAAGAAATGCCAAAGCAGGCGCTTGAGTCGTAAAATGCTGCCTGAAATATATGTGGTGTCCTTTATGTGTGTGTGTGTGTGTGTGTGTGTTGTATTGGTCTTTGGCCTTGGTTTGAGCCGTGTGTTTCATGCTTTCGGAATGAACTGAACAGAAGTGAAGTGAACTAGCTACAGCTATGTACATTTACGTATACGAAATAGGTTGGGGGACTGACACGTATATTCCTGGGCCCAGTTGGAAGGGGGAGGGGGGCAATGTAGGATGTGTCTGTGTGTTTGGGGCATGATTACTTACCTGCAGCATCAGCGCGTGCGGCGTGTGTACAAAATATGAAACATTTCCTTTGGGGGAAGACTGCAAACAAAGTTGACCATCGGTTGCCACTGGATTGTACATGAAGACAATGGCATTCGATAGTTTGCCATCGTACAGCACCTGTGGCAAAAGAGAGACAGAGCGAGAGCGAAAGAGGAGGAGAGAGAAAGAGAATTGTTGGCATTAGTTAGGCATGGCTTTCAACAAGTCATTGTCAGAGCTCTGCGGCTCTGTTGCTTGGTTGCTCTGAATCCGGCGAATTGTTTCCGGTCATGCTGACAATTTACTTTTGCTTTTGGCGTTTGCCTTTGGCCTTTTGCTTTAAGCGCTGAGCGGAGTACAAAAACTTCTATATATATATATATATACATGAAGTACTTATAATACGACTGCTTACATACACAAACATATATATACATATACATATAGTTATATATATATGTATATATATAAATAGGTATATATATATATAGCTGTTAATTTACAGCAAACGGCAGACACAATATACACACACATAAAATTGCTGTTGATTTCGCGCGAGTTGTTATATTTGTTTTACTTTTGTTTTTATTTCATATTCTTCTTTTATATATATTTTTATATTTTAATATATGTTTTATTTGGTGCATTTTTTTTGGCTGGCGCCGTCATACGAGGCGTATGCGTAATATACTTGCAGCAGCTGCTGTAGCTTTTTGCAGCGTGTGTGTGTGCGTGTAAGTAAACCTTTAAGCAAACAGGTACATGTGTGTGTACGTGTGCATGTGTGTGTGTGTGTGTGTGTTAGCTGTGCGTGTATAATCGCTGGCTGCATAATTTGCTGCTAAAAATACTTCTTTGCATTATTTAACAAACAAAAGGAATATATATGACAGAGAAAGTAAAAAACGCACACATAAAAAGCAGAGAAAATAATATGAGAGCAAAAAAAAAAACTAAAGGAATGCAAACAAAGGGTATGTCCCGCAACATATTGCACACGTACGCACATATTATTAAATATTGAATAGAAGGGCACAATTGAAAATGTATTTGTTTTTAAATTGTAGCCAAAGCGAGCTCTTTAAAGGATGGTAGCGCAACATTGTTTAAACAAAAGCACTTCAATCGTGAACTTTAATAAAGAACTTTAATTAAGAACTAACAGAAAAGCAGCCAAATGGCACAAAGATGTTAGGGAAACATTGCCGTGAGATTTTGGGCGCAAATTCCAGATTAAATAAAGTTCTTTAGCAATAATTAATTAAGCGAAATAAATAATAAAAAAAAATACTAAAAAACAGACGGAAATGGATAATTCGGGCCAAAGTTGTGTCTGGCGGGCCAATCAGAGCCCGTCTAAGACTATGATAGATTAATATTAAGATTAAGGGCCACAAAGCACATTAATATGTAACTAAAAATTCAATGACTAAAATAAAATAAGCTCACAAATTATGCAGCTAATTATTTTGCTAAAAAATGTCTCTTGCTCGACAAATAAACATCTTTGAAATGCAACTGAGACGGAACAACTTTCAGGTACTTTCAATCCAGATGCCAGAGATGTATATATATATATATATATATATATATATATATATATATATATATATATATATATATATGCTTCAAATCTGTGCTTAAAATCCTTTTACGCCAACCTCTCGAATTTTGCCACTATTAACCCATTTTGGTAGCACAACTTGACCCATTTCGCAGGCTTGTTATTTGTGTTAGGTACACAAGAGCTTGGCAAGAACAACAGCTACATAAAATAACTTTCAAGACTAATGCACTCTCCACACACACACACACACACGCACACACACACACACTCTCACATATATCAAAATAAATAATCATAATCATAATAATAATAATAATACAAAGTGCGAGTGCAGGAGAGTCAACAAAATGGAATCTGGCATAGAAATGTTAAAATGCAGTACCCCTTGTCCCCCGTACACAAACCCCCCTAGGCTAGAGTTACCATATAGTTCGTAGAGCCTGGTATATGGAGCATGTTGCATAGATTTCTAACAATCATAGCGAATGGCTAGGTGGTGGGGGGCGTAGCCTAGCTAGCAATCATAATAGTGAAACAGAAACAAAACCAACAACAAGAAATACGACTACAAGATGCTTAAAAGAGGCGAGTTCCACATTTGCAGTCGCCGTCGCTGTCGCCGTTTGCTTTGTCTCTGCCTGGGTTTAGGTGCGCTGCGAAGTATGCAACATTTATTTGTAAGCCTCGCGTCGAGCATTGTTGTTGCCAACGCAACTCCCAAGCTTCACCAAGCGGCCGACCCGGCCAGCCCTTAAAGGCGGCGCACTTTAAAATTCTACACAAAATTACAAACATTTTCATAATTACGAGCATTCTCGAGAAGGGGTAAGTTTGGGGTGGCTGCTTGGGGGATTGGGGGGATTGGCGGATTGGGAGGAGATTTGCTTGCCATAGTTGAGAATTCAATAGAGCAGCGCAAGCTGCGCTTCAATGAATGAGAACATTTTGATTGGCTTTGAAGTTTAGTTTTTGCCCAAGAGCTGTCAAGTGGGTTGCGGCGGGGGGCAGCTGCTGCGGGCGATGGGGGCTTTAGCTGGCATTCAAAACGATTCGATGCGAGTTGATTCGATTTGCTGCGATTCGTTTGCGGATTTGGCAACGTTCAACGTTTGCGACGTTGCTAACATTTTAATTGGCGTTACGCCCAAGCAGAGGCGTGGTCTGGGCTGGGGTTGTCGGCTTAAGGGTGGGGGTTGCCTTGAAATCGATTTGACAAGCATTTTGCTAAGCTGCCTGAAGTGTGGGGCAATTGTATAATAAACAACCATATACATTATTATTATAATGTTAACCATTTTGAAAACCTAACAAATAAAATGGATGAGAAACGAGCCAAAGTATTAAAATAAATATTATATAAAAAGAGTAACCAAAATCTTAATTGGGAATTTAAAAATCACAAAATCAAATGCTTAAGCATTAAAAAAGATAAAAAATTAAATATATCAAAGGAAAAGTAACGAAATTAAAATAAGCTGTGAGAATAAAAAATGGCTTTGAATAAAACATATAAGCATTAGCATATATACAATTATACAAAATAAAAATTAAAAAGCTGAAATTTATCGAAATAATGCGAAGCCGTGCCCATATAAATTATTGAAAACTGAATATATATGCATGAAACCCGAATAAAATGTTCGACTCGAAAAATTAAGTTAAATTGTGCTCAAAAAGATTTTTCAAAAAATTAAATATGTTACCATGAAAATCAAAAAAAAGAAAAAGAAAAACAGTAAATAAAATTAAACCTGATTAACTAGAATAATATATATGTGAATTGCTTACAGCTTTTAGCTGGTTGATTTCCTCAGTGTCGCCGGCAATGGCGGGGGCGGGCACGCCCATGGTGCTCAGGCTGGTCACACTGGACATGCGACGCAGTTGATCTGCCCCGCCCACGCGTCAAACGAAAATCGATCGACAGGATTGAAATAAAAATGCAAAGAAAGAAACGATAAACGATAAACATAAGAATCGAAAGCAAAGCGCAGCCACACACAAGAACAAATCATAAATACCAAAAGAAGCATTTCCAGTGGGCAAATGGCCAAGCGGATCGTCCGCAGTGTTGTTGTTGTTCTTGTTGTTGTTGTTGCTGTTCGATTGTTGCTGCTGCTGCTGTGCCAGCGGCAACTGTTGCTGCTCGCTGTTGCTGCTGTTGCTGCCGCCCTCGGCAGGCGTGCCCGGCGTGGCTGCTGCTGCTGCCGCCGCTGCTGCTGCTGCTGCTACTGCTGCTGTGGCAGCTGCTGTTGTTGGCGCTGCACCACCCGTTAGAGCCGCCAGCGCAACCGCATTGCGTGCGGTTAGCACCGCCCGGATCTTGACAAAGGCCGCACTCAAATCGAGCCGCTCGTCGGACCAGTCAATGGCGCGCGCCTCCTGCTCGGCGGCGAGCGTTTGGAATTGCAGCTGCAACTGTTGCTGCTGGCTGCTACTGCTGCCGCTGCTGCTGCCGGCCGTGGCGCCGGCTGCATCGCTGCCAACCAGCAGAGCACCACCCAAACTGGTTGTTAGTTGAAAGTGACTCACCCGCTTGTGATTGTCCGGCAGATTCAGATAGCACTCGTTATCGAAACGGAATTGCGACTGTTTTGTGCGAGCGTGTGTGTGCGCGTGTGTGTGCGCATGTGTGTGCGCATGTGTGTGTGCGGATGTGTGGGTCGGAACAACAGACAGACGCAAACACAGCGTTGTTTGTATTGTTGTTGTTGTTGTTGTTGTCGTTGGTGGCATTGGTGCAAAGTTGGTGCAGCGCATTGAGACAAAACGAGAGAAAAAGAGAGAGAGAGAGTAAGAGAGAGGAAGAGAGAGAGAGAGCGCACACAAGTGAACAAGAAAAAAATAGAAAAAAAATACATGTAATTATTGTTATAAGTACGATTTTCACAAAGGTCTGGGCTACGGGATCTGGTTGGAGATGGTGTGGGGAGCTTCACAAGGACAAGGTGCTGCTGCTGCTGCAGTGCAGTGGTTCTTCTTCTTTTTTTGGCGGTGCAGCCACAGTGGCACGGTGGTAAAGTGCTTAAACTAGATACGGTGGCTCCACTTACCTTGTAGCCCGGCCCCAGACGGTGCATCGCGCAGATTTGCTGCGTTGTCAGCGCCTCGCTGAACAAATAAATTGCCGACATTTGGCCACAGAAGACACGCTCCTCATCCAGCTCGGGCGTGGCGCCTATATAGCACTTGTCAAAGGGCTAGAGAGAGAGAGAGAGGGGGAGATTGAGCGTGTTGCATAGATTTCGCTTTAAAGATTTTGCTACTCACATCGTTTGTGGAAACAAACCAGGCCATTTCGGTTGACGACGCCAGTTGTCCATTCACGAGGCACTTGATTTCGCTTTTCGTCCAACGATTGTATATGTACACTATGGCAATCATATACCACTAAAGAGAGAGTAAGACAGAGAGAGAGAGAGGTGAAGGGTGAGAGTCAGAGATAGAAATATGGATTAGAATTGTTTGAATATATTAAATCAAAATCCTGCAGATTTATAAATATGTAGATAAATAAATATATATATATATATATATATATTTATCGGAATTTTGCTTTACCGAGACGCACGCGATTTGCCTATTAAATGCCTTTTATGTGTGCCTCAAATGAATTTACCTTACCAAAAATGTGATCATTTATTTCTTACAAGAATTAAGTCCATTGAAATGTTAGCTTTGCCGCCAACTTTGGTAGAGGCCGTAGTTAATTTTCTTCCCAAAACTAATTTCAATTGCTTTGGGCAGGAAATTTGGCTCTGCTGTTGGCCTTGCGATGGGCTGTTAATTAAACTTTGGCAGCCCGGAATCACGCCCATAAATTGAAAGTAGGCAGCCAAGTGGCAAGTAGCAAGTGGCAAGTGGCAAGCGTGTGTTTGTGAGGCTAATGGGTCGTAATTCACAGGTGTAACGACTCGAGCCGGAACGGGAGTAACCCGGGGTAACACTGGGGCACTTACCTTTCGTGGCTGGAATTCATATTTGACACAATGCTGAAAGCCCTTGCCCTTGACCTTCATCGATGTGAGGACCAGACAGTTGCCCACAAAGTGAGCCGTATACCCAACGCCCTTCGATGTCTTGAAGCTGAAGTTGTGAGCGGGAGGAGAAGAAAATAAATATATATGAGCAATTAGTAAGTGTCAATTAGTTGCAAGAAGTACGCAAGTACGAGCACTGTGTGGAAGAAGAGGCAGCCTTTTTTGGGCGTTGGAGCCAGCTACTTACCAGTAGAGATAGGGTTTCTCGCGCTCAATGTTCACCGAGTTAATTGGATCCAATCGAAACCAGGTGGTAAAGGTAAATCCATTTTCGTAGGGCCATTTAGCCAGCGGCGGCAGAACCATTGCCTGTAGAATGCAACAATATGGGCGGCATGATTAGAAAAAGAAGAAACAAAAAAAGAGGCGTTGCTCAAATGTAATACAATTAGTTGCAAGCACACACACATACAGAGAATGAGAGAGAGAGGGTAAGCGTGTGAGAGTGTGGGGGGGGGGGGAGAGGTGAAACAGAGCCTGGTCAATCTTAATTAGCAGCTGGCCCGTTCAAATGAACCGCATAATACACAAAGTAGCAGACCACAATCCCGATTGAGCCCCCTTTGGTGGCATGCAACACATGTCTATCAAAGCCACAAAAGTCACAAAGTCGCAAAGTCACAAAGTCACAAAACGAAATAGCGTGAGGCAATCGGGGAATGAAAAGCAAATGAACCAAATGGAAAGCCAAACCAAACTGAACATAAATCAAACCATCGAAAATTTATACACTGTACTGTTTTGGAGTCATACACTTTGAGCACACAGTTTGAGAGTCGCAATCTCAGCTCTACAAATTAAGAGCCATTCTCTAATGCATGCTTTGATTCATAATTTGTGTGTCAAAGCTAAGGTATCACCATATCGGACTGAAGGTTTCGGAAATACCTAATCTTAGAGTCACAATAAATTTGAAAGTCCTTACATTGTCCCAGTTAAAGTCAACATTTTGTAGTTAAAGTTTTGCAGTCACAGCAGAAGTTCTACGATTTCAGAATTTGCAAACTGCTAGAGTCACAATTTTTGAGTTAAAAACTTTTCAGTCGCAGTCGAAAACTTCTCATGCGTTAAAATATTTTCGCACCGCTCACAATTGAAAGGCGTTGGTCCCATGTCTTCGAGCTAGCCATAGAGTATTCCGCAGTCGAGAGTTTTCAAGAAGCTTTGAGCATGGACAAAGATTGAGAGGGAGTGGAGCAAAGCTTCGCAAATTCTGTCGAAAAGCAGCCGCAAATGCGGATGGTAAAATTGAAGTGAAAATTAAAAGGAAATGAGCACATTTTGATTTATCATGAATTTTGTGGTTTTACGGGCAAATACAGGGGTTGGAGAGTTTTCACACACACACACAGACATACACACACACACACTATTAACTGCAACTGCGTGTTGACTTTTAGTTCATAAATTTATTTCCCTTTTAATGCTCGCAAATTTATGTTCTTATCATGTTTGTATAACTGAGCGCCACGCCCATTTCGGCCAGCTGTCTCAACGCCTCAAATTCGCATCCGTTTTGTTTATCTCGCATTTTGTATTTTGTGGATATTTTGGTCATTTGCAAAATGCATGCGAATGAAGTTAGTTAATTGGAAAATGTTATGAATTGGCAATTGACAATTGAAAGAAGGGAGAGAGAAGGGGCAGTAGTGTGTGTGCGTGTGCGTGAGTGTGTGTGTCTGTTTTTGTGAGAGTGATAAAAATGTATATATAATAAAAATATATACAAAATTCAGGCCAGCCTGCTTTCGGCATGGGAAACCCATAACAAAAAAAAAAGAAAAGGCACTTAAGGTCTGCCTACGAAAGCCTTCTCTTGCTCTTCCCCTTTCCCTACGATTTGATATTTCCTTTAGGCGCTATCTGATATATTAATAAGATTTGCTGCGGCTTTGCAAATATGCGAGCAGAACTGTAAAACTCGCAGTTGTGGACGTTCCAAAAGCAGAAAAGTTTTCTAAGCAATAACATATTTTTTGGGCGTTTCTTTTTGCCATAGGGCTGCTTCTGGCCATAAGTCTGATGCTAAGGTCTGTTAAGCTTTGTCAAGATATCTGAATAAACAGCAAAATGTCATGTCAGCTATATGCTATAGTAGTTTGATCCGACAGATTCTGATGAACACGCCGCCTGCAGCCAATAATCTATAAGCCTTGAGGCTGAGAGTCTTGTGTGGACAGACGGACAGACAGACCTGGAAATATTCACCCGTATATTGTTATTGATCAGGAATATATATACTTCATGGTATTGGAACTGTCTCCACTTCAATGCAGTACTCTTTTAAAAGCAAAGCCATAATATACTCCTGAAAAAACTTTCTGAATGCTTCAGACGAAAATGAAATCGAGTTAATGAAACAGCTTTGGGTTCTGGCTCTGCTAAGGGTTAACAAAAGATCGTATTTCGCCTAAATTGCAATATTTTAGGAATTTGCTACATGCAAAAGCCCAATTGATTTCAACTGAACGCGCCTGCCGGCTTTGGCTTTCATTGGGCCAACAAAAAAGAGAACCTTTCAATTTGTTACACGTAATATATATACTATATATGCATATATATATATGCTGATAAATAATTGAACTATTTATTGAATGCTGCAGCCATTTGAAATAGAAAAACCATTAATTTGAACACATGCAAAGGCAAAACAGATTTTTAGCATTCATTTAATAGTCCACTAAAAATAAAATGAAAATAAACTAATACCAGAAAAAACCTTAAAAGTGGCCGCTTTATTGAATGCTTGACTAACATTCATAACATTCATTTCCAATTGAATCGGACACACATACACAAGCGCGCGCACGCATACATTCACTAGCTGTATAATATTCATTTAACATTTATTCGCTTTTGGTAGCCGGCAACAAAGTTCGCATTCATTTGTATGCGGAGATGAGCTTTCTGTGGCGAATGTTAGGCGAACGGACATTGTCTTGAGGCCTCATTCAATTGTGCAACACGGTGCAACAATGGCAGAGCGTGTGGCATGCCACATGATTTAACATTGTTGCCCCATGTCTACGAGCTGTGCATGTCGTCATTTCTCCCCTCCCTTTCGCCCTCTGTGGCTCGGTGAGAATGTCAAGCAAAGGCAGCGAAAGAGAGTGTCATAGTATAGGGGCGGGGGCGTGGCTAGGACTTGGCTTGCTTGCCACTGCCAAACGCCACGCAGAGCTGCAGCTGGCGGGCAACTCGTTAGTGCAACGAAATGCGAAGGTTTTCTCAATAAGCTTTGAGGCCTGGAAACTCGTCTCAGCAAGGGTCGAGAAGCAGCCCGTTCCCATATTAAAGCCCAAAAGTGCACTAAATGAAAACTAAAAAGAATAGAACCAACAAAATGGAAAACGCAGCAACTGACCAACTGCGAGGGGGGTGGGGCGGGGAGCTGTGCAGTAACATGTCCTGTTTATTGAACATTTTGTGACAATTGCTTGGCGAGGCTCTCGTTTCATTTCATTTCATTTCATCTCGTATCGTTTCGTGTCGCATTTGACTTCCAATTCGCTTTATGGCACTTTTTATGTGCTTATGTCATAGACAGATAGCCATAGGGCTGCCTAGGAAAGTTGGGAGGTGTGTGTGTGTGTGTGTGTGTGTGTGTGTGTGTGTGTTGGGCTGTGTCAGCTGAGACAGCAGAGCAGTCATATGCCACATGGACAACGCACATTTCGAATTCGATTTAAGTGCGACGCAATAAAATAAAAGCCCAAGAAGCACCCAGCCCCCCTCCAACCCCCCTCGGCCATAAATGCCACTGGCTGTAGTTGGGGCTGAAAGTGCTCGTGTGTGTTTGCACTTAAAGCCAACTTGCAACTTGTGCAAATCGGGGAGAACAAACATTGGTTATTGTTGTTTATTGTCATTAGATATTGACTTACCGATCCCTTGCGGCCGGGAAAACTGAAGAACACATCGGGCCCGTTGCGATGTGGCATTTGTCGCAGCACATTCAACAATTTGGCTGAATGACGCGGCCATTTGCCATTGTTGGCCTTCATCGTGCCAAATAGAAGTTTCAGCTCCTTAACGGTTATGCTATAGCTGGCCAATACGCCCAGCATCTCGATGAGCAGATCTGTAATGGCAGACGAGAGTAAGAAAGAAATTGAGAGGGGGAGTTTTATATAGTATGAGCAGCATTCCACCTGTGTGTGTGTGTGTGTGTGTGTGTGGGTGACATGTTGAAGGGGTTTTGGAAAATGTTGCAAGCTGCGCGAATTCACGCCAGCTCCAAAAATCTAAATGCTGTTGTAAACTATCTACACTGAGCAAGCTATATATGCAAATTATATACCATACATCCAGTCTAAAATAGATTGTAATATTTCAGATTTAAGATAAAATCCTTACAGGCTATTCAAATTCATTGAATAATTAAATTAGTACAACTCTTCAGCTTCTTCATTGCTGAGTAAACATTTCAAAAGCTTTTAAGCTAAACTTTTAAGCTTCTTCACCGCTGAGTAACTATAATACGTGAAAAGCTTCAAAAGCACAAGCTTACTCTCTACCATAAAAAGCATAAGAGCAAAAACAGAAACAAAATTATTTAAAGCAACTTCAAGTTAACTAGTAAGACGTATTTTGAATCAAGAAAAATCAGTACAACAAATAATTGAAAAGCTCTTGATAGCTTATGACAGCTTAAGTTTAGTAAAACGCACATTTGAAGGAACAAAGTTGTCTTTTATATACTTAAGTTAAAAGCACATTATATCAATTGCCTAAGCAGCAAGAGCAAGCAGAACAACAATTAACTGAAAAAGCTTTTGAAAGCTTTGCTTAAGTTGAAAGCCCATTGTATCCATTGACTAAGCGCAAATAGCTATGAAAGCGCATTTGGGCTTTAATCAAGTCAAAATATAAGCCTTTTTCTAGCCATTTTTAAGGCTAGTTTTTCATGCAAACTAGCTGCTGGTGCAAAGCTTTTAGCTTGATTTTCGCCTAGCCTTCGAATCGGTTTAGCCGAACTTTCAACTGATGAAACAAAGTTGCGCATGCAGCGAAGCGGCAAGGACGCTCTTAGAGCAAAACACCAGGCAATATCAGGCAATGGGCGCTGGTGGGCGTGGCACTAGCACACCACCAACAAGGTCAGGCCGTGAAACGAGCTGGAAATTGAATTCGAACTGTCATTGAATTTGGCATAAAAGTCCCAAAAAATCGATTGAGTGTGGCAGCACACGTGCTGCCAGTTGGCTTTTAAATTGCATTGTGCGGCGTTGCCAGACTGGCACGTTTTGTCAACGTTCACCTTGTCGCTTGCTCGCCTGCCCGCCTGCCCGCCAGCCCGCCTCAAGCCGCAGCCTGGTGCGCCCTGCCTGCCCGGCTGTTCGGCTGCTATTCCCAAACTTCATTTGTAATGCACACTAATTGAAATGGAACGCACGGGCCGTTTTAATGCCTGGACTGTTGCCGGGGCCACAGGACCCAAAGGAGCTGCCGCTCTGGCAGCACTGGCAGCTGTCTGCTCCGTAGCACGCCGCCGTTGCACAGTTTCCAGTTGCGCCTCCATCAACACGTTTCGGTTAGCGTAAATTAAGAAATTGAGTAACATCCAAGCCCGCACCCGCACCCGTCCCCTCCCGGGCTACAGACGTAGCGTCAGTCCCAGGACGACAATGTTGCTCCATTGGCCTCAAGTTGACGCTGGCCGTAACTTCCACGCCTCTGCCTCCGGCATCAGCTTTTAATTACACACATTTTTGGCCCACGCTCCGGGAGAGTTGTGAGCTCCTTGTGGAATCTTCATCCAACGTCTGTTGCAATAGCTTAAGGCGCAATGACAATGCCATCAGCCCGAGTCATAGTCGGAGTCGAAGTCCTCCAGCTCTTCATGTGTCTATCCAACCATTCAGCTGTCTGTCCGACAGTCTGTCTCGCTGTCTCTCTGTCTACATGTCTGTCTGTCTGACTGTTCCTCCCTCGGCGACCGCCACTCTGTCAAAGTTTAACTGCCTTTTGCATATCTTGGCATCTTCTGCAGCTCATAAAAAAGCCAAAGTGCGAGAACTTGTCAGGTTTTTATGTCCTGGGCCCCGAAAGCTCCAACGATACAGTTATTTCCTGCTTCTGCTTCTCTTTTTCTTAAAAATCCACACCAACAGCAGCAAGAAAAAATTTCGTCAAATAAAATTTCGAGATAGTTTCAACAAGCAAAAAACTAACATGTGAAACAAACTTAAGCACACAAAAAAAAAAAAACAAAAGCGCAATAATAAAAATTATATAAAAAAAACTCACAACCTTTGTGAAGAAGTTCTTAAATCATATTTTAGATTTGAGTTTAACTATAATATATTTAAAAAGATCGATAACTGCGAAATCGACTGCTAAATTTCCAGCCCTGCACTTTCGAGCATATCTCGTAGTTTTAAGAGCGTACAATTTGGTTTGTGGGTTCTTGTTAAATGTTTGTTTTACATTTAAGATGCATTGCAAGCATTTTGAGAGTAACAAAGTATTTTTTGGTGACTGCAAGCATCCGAATGCCCTTCTAGAGCCTGGACAACAGAAGAGGTGTGCTCAGACTTAAGTAGAGGGTATCACTAGTCGAGTTAAGCACTCTCATTAATGTGGGTTCAAGTGAAGAAAGAAGTTTTCATATATTTCCAAAAGACAGAGGTATATCTGGTAAGTCTTTTCAATAAAGTGATTGTCCTGATTGATTGACACAAAATCCAAACCAAAAGGTCTGTTAAGCTTAAGCCTAAGCTTTTTTTTGTAGCACCCCGCAGCCATCCTTATGATGTAAGTGCACGCTTAGGTTGGGGTTATACGAAGTTCCATCCGCAAGTGTGGAAAAAAAGTGAAAAAAGTAAAGCTTTTTAGCTAGCAAATAAGCTACATGTTCATTATAAAAGATCTTTGGCTGGGAGATTTTCACACTTTTCGAAATGGCGCATGGATTCCCTGTGCCTTAATGCTTTTTGTTGTTTTTTTTTTTTTAAACTTTATCATTAAACAAATGAGAACTCAACACTCCTTTTTAAAACTTTAAATATTTTTCGATTTAACTCTATAAAATTAAAATTAGTTTTGAAATTTAAATTTGATAACAAAAAAATAAAAACAACATATAAGATAGTGCTTAAAAAAACGCCGTAAATTTCTGCCCAAATTCAGGATAATTTTAGCTAATGGAACTTAAATGTTTTGCTATAGTTGAAACAAAACAAAAAACTCATAAAGTTGCTCAAGTGTTTTTGTTGTTGTGTTAATGGAAGCAGAAGAGACAGCCGGAACACAGTTTCCATCTGTCTACCGCACACACGCACACACACACTCACACGCACACACACAACTTTTAGCTTATCTAATTTCTTGGCAAGTGTCACGTTTCGACATTTGTCAGGTAACAGGCACACACACACAGAGAGAGACACACATGTATGAAATTATGGCTTGAACGCCAAGGCTCAAAAGTCAGCGACTGCAAATTGACAGCAGTTACAGTTCGTTAAATGCCAACTGGAGAGGGGGTGAAAGGTTCTGGAGAGAGCGGTGGATAGGGGTGCAAAATGCTGACTGCCTGGTTGGGGTTTATCGGGAGGGGGGTATGGGGTCTGGCAAGGCCGGGCAGGCGGGGTTGCCAGACCGCAGATGTGTCATTGACTTAATAAAATCAAAATCAAAGCCAAAGGCACGCACACGCTTCTGGCAGTTACATAGGGGTGCGGGGGTGACTATTGCGGGGCCTGTCTGTGTGTATGTGTATGTGGGCGTGTGCGTGTGTGTGCGTGTGTGTGTGTGGGCGTGGTAGTGGGAGAAGTGCCAGTCGGCTGTTCACTAATGAAGAGAAAATTTGCTGCGTTGTTTGTTGTTGCTGCTGGAGACTCCTAATGGTAGAGAGAGAAAGATAGAGAGAGAGAGTGAGGGGGCGACATGCGAAACGAATGCTTGGCATACATGAGGGGCGGTGTGGGCGTGTCTAACATGGCAGCAGCAGCCCGCTGGCTGGCCCGAAGCGGGAATGCTGCCGGTGCGGACCACTGGGCGTATCACGGCCGCTGACAAGCGTGAAATTAATCGAAAAGCAATTCGGCGGGCCAGTCGACGCGATGCGACGCGGCAATTCGACTTCTTTATTTTTTGGACACATGCCACATGGCACGAATCACAAAGTAGCATGCCACACACACACACACACACACACAGCTTGTATGTGTGTGTGTGTGTGTGGTTGAACTAGCGCAAGTCCAGCTGATTCATTGGCAAAGCGAAGCTCCATCGAGCACAGCTCTGCTGGAGCCCAATTGTACATTTTGCATTTATTTTCTTGCAACTTCATTTTTCTTGGTGCCCTCCTCCATTTGACCTCCACTTCTTTGGCTGTGTCACTTCGGTCACTTTTTCCCCCTAACATAGCTCAATTTCTAGTGATTCGCATTTCACGCCGGGCCACTTCTCATTCCCGGTCACTTTTATCTGCTTGAGGAAGTCTTATTTTCATCTACTAAATTCCTTCAGACTTCTTATCCGATATCGAGCTACTTTTGATACCAGCAGAAAAAAAATATGTTGTTTTTCCGTGCATGGTTCGAACCAGCTTCCTGCCTTTGGGGCGCAGCTACTTAATATGTAATATTTATGTTTCGGCTCTGTTTTTTTGCACAAGTTGATTGCTTTAAGATTCTGCTTTCGCTTTAAGTTAAATGTGAAATTGGAGTTTGAACCAGTTCGGTTCAAACCCTATTTGTAGCTTTGGTGTAGATGTAAAAATTTCTTTCAACCAGCTTTCTGCCTTTGGGGCGGAGTTAAAATAAATTTACCAATTGATTTGGTTAAAATTTCAGCTTATGCTTCACATTCGGAGTTTGAACCAGTTCGGTTCTAGCCCGTATTGCCTGAGTAAGTTGAACGAACTAAGTTGAAATTTCATCGTTAAAATTTGCAGTCGCATTTTCCATCCATGTAAGCGGTTTACTAAAATGCGTGAAACACGTTTCCAAAGAATTTTCACATGGATATTTGAAAGTTTTTACCAAAACCCGCTGTGTTGAAAAGGAAAAACAAAAAAAGTTTGCAACAGCAGGTTTCCACCATCAATTTTTCTGCACTAGCGTGCGGAATTTTCCACAAGATTTTCATAGAAATTTTTCAAATAGGGCTGTAAAACTAAAATGCGGCAGCGCGGCTCAAACAAGGGAAACATATGAAGAACAAAACAAAAGCAAAAAAGTGTTTGACAACAGCTTTTCGCCAGTTTAAAAGTATCTTCTTTCTTTTTAATCTCGGCGAAGTAGATATTAATGTTAAAAATGGAAAATGTTTTCAAACTCGAGCTGCCTCAGTCTAAGGTTTGAAATGTGCATCAATCAGTCAATCAGTCAATCAATCAGCCAGTTAGTGAGCAGAAAGACTTTCATATTTGGGACAAGGCTCAGCCGCCACGCTTCAGTTGACAGAGTCTGTGTGTTTGTATGGGTGAGTGTATTGTTTTGACTTACCTGCCACAACAGTTTCGGAGCGCTGCAGACGCACCAGGACATGCTCGATAAGTCCCACATCTGTGCAGGCCTGAAGATTGCGAACGCTCTTTCGCAGAATCGCAATAAACACGCTCCAGATCTCGGCCTGAAAAGAGAGAGAGAGAGGGAGAGAGAGCGTAAGAGACGGCATTAGGGAGCAGTCAAAGCAAGCAAAACTTTACAAAGCATACCAAGTACTCAATTCTCAAGGATGTGTGTGTGTTCTTGTGTGTGTGGGCCCCAGAGAGGCGAAGCAAAAAAGGTTTTTTCCCTTTGCCCCAAGCAAATGTATTACGAAATCAAAGAAACAACTGCGATTGTTGTTGTTGTTGTTGTAATTGCTCCACTGTCTGCCCAGTTCAATAAGCTAAGTAAAGTGCCACACACACACACACACACTTACACACGAACACACAGTTACACACATATATATGCAGAAAGCCTGGCAGCAGCTCGCGCGCGCTTAGAAGTATGCAGCACTTTTTGCTGCAGTGCTTGGGTGTGTCTGTATGCTCGCATGTGTGTGCCTAATGTAAACAGTCATTGAAATAAAGTAAAATAATGGAAAATAATGGCAAAATAATCGCAAGCTCAAACCAAGGAGCTGCTTATGTTGCCGCTGCCGCTGCCATTGCGGCTCATGAGTTGTTGCCAGCAGCCGCCGCAATCAGCAACTGATTCAGTGTTTGAGTTTCAAATGCGAGACAGAGTGAATAGGGGAAAGGGCAGGGGCAGGGGCGGGGCCAGGCAAGCAGGCGACGGAGCTGTGGCACTGAGTGGCTGGGCTGCTGGCGCTTGGAATGTATTATTGCGGCAATATTTGTGCGGCAAGCAGCAGCCACTTTTGGCAGGAAGGAAAAACGTTTTGGCGGTTTTTATGATTATTGCCTGCCACACACACACAAACACACACACACAGATACACAGAAAGGCACACACACACTCACACTAGGGAGAGATTGCACTGTGAATTGGCCATTGCATAAACACAAAATTCATATAATTTTCGTTTGGTTTCTTTTCTTATATTTTATTTATTTTCACTTTTTATTTATTTTTCTTTTGTTTTCTCTCTTCTGACAAATGCAGACAATGAAAATGTAAACGTTTTGAGTGTTTATAATGAGCCTGCGGAATACTGAATACTGAATATTGAATACTGAATACTAAAGCACTCAAGTTGTGAAGCTCCTCAAAGCACCTCAAGCACCTCAACTTGTGGCTGTGGCTCATGCTGCGTATGTGTGATTTGCGAAACAGTGCTGCAAAATGCTTAAAGCTTAAAGCCAATTGTATTCAAATGGCTGCAACAGAATTGTTTGCTTTGTGAACTTGTTGAGACAACGGATGCGGTTCATTTTATGAACTGAACTAGCAGCGTGTTACTCGATTTCGATGCAATTGAACCAACAATTATCTGTGCTTCACTTTCAAGCCGATTGAACTACCGAAAGGAAGGTGATTTTTGGGATCATGGGATCGGGTTGCTGTAGAGAACAATTAGAAGATGTGTGTGTTATAAGCGATTGAGCCAGAGCAAAGAAAGGAACTAAATTGAGCCGGGTTGATGAACTACGTAACGATTGGATGCTCTTTAGTTCCGACTGGTTCGTTTTACAGCGTTTCTTAATGTTAGTTTGCGGGGGAATTAAATTTAATTTGCCGATTTTTTATTGGCGCTGGTCAAATTTTGTGCCCAGTATTTGCGTGGAAATCAATGTGTGTGCATGCGTGTGTGTGTGTGTGTGTGTTGTTTCTTGTTGTTGTTCTTGTATTTGTTCATTTTTGGGTTCTTTTGCTTTCATCGTTATCTGTTGCTCGGCTCGTTTTACGCATCATTTCGTTCACCATCCGCTTGGCAGCGTCTTCTCCCGCCTGTTCCCCCCTCTGTTCTTATCACGCAGGCCTCTCGCTCGCCTCTCAGTGTGTTTGTTGTTGTTGCCTGTTAATGTACTGCACGCATAATTTAATTCGTCGATTCATAAATTGCCAACAAAAATTCACTCACTCAACGGCCGTGGGCGCCAACGCCCCCAGCTGCCATCCGGCACTGCGCCCCACCTGCTCGCCCTCACCGAGTTCTGTGACGCAGGCTTTGCCGCTTTACAGCTGTCGCGCCAAAGCAGCTTTTGACTGTACAAATACGCATTTACATAAGCATATACCGTACACATATATACATAATATACATACATATATTTATATATATATGTATATGTATGAATATGTGTGTGTGTGCTTTTACGTGTAGGTGGGAATGCGCTGCTGTTGGTAATTTGATCAGTCCAGGCACCAATTGTGCCCAAAAAGAACTCTTAAGACACCCGCTTACACACACACACACACACACACACACACATAAGCGAACACACACACAGATAAAGAGAAGCAGAGCAGTTCTCTGGCTGGCGTCAGCAATGCACCCCGGGGCACTTCCTACGCCCCGCATATAATGCCCTCTTCCCAGCAGCCCACAAATTTTCCAACTGTTCGTTTTGCTCGCTTGCCATTCGGTAGTTATATGCAATACCCTGTAAATTAAATAGGCATAAAAAAGATTGACTGTCTTTTGATTTTCACATAAATCGCCTTTGGAATAATGTACTAATGCTCTCCTATTTTCCTATTATACCCTCCATGGTCGCATCTGGGCACGGCAGAACATTTATTTATAAACTTATTCAGTTTGTTGCAAATTTGTTTATACGTTCGATACCCGTTGACCTCCAGTAACAACAGGGTATGGCTCCGTTGAGCAGACTGTGGCCACATTTAATTTTGTGTTTTATCTTCAAATGTTGCTCATAGCAAAATACAAAGTTGATTTGACGCCGTTGCGTTTTGTTTTTACAGCATTATTTCTTAATAAGCGCCAAGCGGGCATCGTTTGCCGCCCCCTCTCCACCCTCCCACACTAATCCACCCACCCCAAAAAGTGATACAGCGAAAAAAAATAAAGAAGACAGAAGCTAGCGTGGAGAAGACAAAAATTAAATAATAAGAGAGCAACTTCAGTCAGATTTTATTACGTAATTGGGTAGCAATTTCTGCATGGCGCAACAACAACAACAACAACAACAACAACAGCAACAACAGCAACAACAACAACAACAACAGCAACAAAATAGCTACAATAAGTACTAGAAAAAACAAGGAACAGCACAACATCGGCCACAGAGCACAAATTAAAATTTCGTCTTTTATACTCTCGTATTGCGGGGTATTGCGATTTTATCATTAAATCTATAACACGTGGAAAACGACATTCCCAATGCTACGTAGTATAGGTATATAGGTATATAAGTGTGATCAGCCAAATCGATATAGCCTATCGCACGAACTTTTCCGAGACATCTTCACTATTGCCCACACTTGCCAGCAGCTGCCCACAAGCCACATGTAAGGAAGGGCATTCAATCTGCGGCGTGTTCTTGCTTGTTTGCTTTTCGGCTATTTTCTGTTTCTTTTGCTTAGCTTTATCTGCAGCTCCAAAGTATGCTACATGCTTAAGCAGAGATAGAGACCGAGAAATGTGAGAAAAAAAGCAGCTGAGAGCAGTGAAGCGGCGACTGGCCTCCCTTTTGTTGTTGTTGTTTTTGTTGCCGAGGTTAAATTGAGCATCGTCCGGCCGAAAGTCAAAGCTACCCGTAAGAAAATAAGACGCCCAACAACACAACAGATAAATTTGACAACGAAAAATTAAAAATTAAGTGCATTCCTTCTCTCAGGGCTCAGAGTTCTAGGTTCGGGGTCCGATTTCTTTAGCCGACAATTCATAATTTGACCCGAAAATATGGCTAAACTTTAATTGCCACAAAATATTTGGTTTTTTTTCTACGTCTTGTTACATTTTCTGTTCAGGTTTTCTCTTTAAGTTCAAGTTAAGTGCGAACTGCTTGATTTAAGTCACAGTTTGTAAGCGATCTGCAGAAATTGCAGTTGGGGTAGGGTATACAGCCGGAATAGGGTGTATATACTTGAGTTATGCTTAGCTTTCAAGCTGCTTACAGGGCATTTATGCGTCGCTCATTATTTACTAGCTGCAAATTGGCTGCTTGTGTTAGTCAAGAATGCATTTCGTGTACAAAGTGTGGGGCAACGTGAAGAAGCAGCGCAGGGTATACGTTCGATTACAGGGTGTCTGCAAGCCGGGCACTACCGACTTTTACTTGTTTTTCTCGCGCTTATTTTCCACTTTATCAGCGATTTGTTTGCACCCCCCTACCCACCCTTTCAGTAGACGCTCTTTCACTACACTTTACCACCGAGCCAACCCTCCCAGCCTTCCTCCACCCATCGCTTCCAAGCTCAGCCAGCCACTTGGATCCCTTTTACAGCTTGGCGCAGTCAAATCGTTTCGTTTCAATAGAATTTCAATAAATTTATCAACGTGCCGCCCGCTGAGCCCGTTCGCCCGTCTCCGAGACGCTGTCGCCGCTTAGCCTGCGCCTTCTACTTTATACTTATCAACGCCATGGCCGGCAACAGCAATCACAAGAAGTCGACGAGGAAGAGAGGAGGAGAGGGGAGAAATTGCAGCAGCAAGAGCAGCACGGGCAGCAAGGACGTCGCATCGTTTTTGCATGCCAGCACTGCCAGAGTTGCCAGAGTTGCCAGAGTTGCCCCCTATTCAATTTCATCACCCGCTCCGTTCTATCTTTATGTCATCTTTTTAGTGTCGTGCTGCAGCGTTGGCCGCGCGTTGCCACCCTACTCCTCACCTATCGCAAGCTGTCGGTCGCAACCACTCTCTCGCTCTCCCTGTCTGCCTCTCTCTCTCTCTGTCGCCCTCTCGCTCTCTTTCTCTGCCAATGTCTTTGGCATGCCGTGCAATGCGCTTATGCGCTTCCTTCCTTCCTATGCGCTATTTGCCTGCGCCGCTCTCTCTCTCTCTCTCGCTCTCTCCCTCACTCAGCCCCTTCCTCTCTCTCTCACTCACGCTGTGTCTTTGCTTCTAACTGGATTCAGCTTTACCTCACATCTTCCCTGCCCCAGGCTCCAGTCAACAGCCAACTGTTTTTTTATTTTTTGTCTCCTGCAAATCTGCTGCAGCTCTTACGGAAATTTATTATTGACAACAGCTGCCGTTGCAATGCAAACAAGCGG